GGAGGAGACGGGAGAACGGACACAAGAGAAGGAGAACGACGACGAGACGAACAAAGGAGGGCAGTGTGGAGGTCAGTAACAGGGGACGAGTGACGAGCACGCGGAGGACAACGAGTGATCAAGTCGCGACGGACAGAGGGAGGAGGAGACTGAGGAGGAGGAGAAGACCAGACCGCCGGACGGTCGTCAGGAGGAGGCAACGGAGGAACAAACACAGGAGGAGACTGGGAGCGGACAGGAGGAGAGGAGGAAAGGCCAAGGGCCCGCAAGCCACTCACAGGTGGGAACAACCGCCGCTCTAGAGGAAGCTGCGGTGGCGGCTGCGGCCGCTGCGGCTGCGGCTGCGGCTGCTGCTGCTGCTGCGGCTGTGGCTGCGGCTGCGGCTGCGGCTGCTGCTGCTGCTGCTGCTGCTGCTGCTGCTGCTGCTGCTGCTGCTGCTGCTGCTGCTGCTGCTGCTGCTGCTGCTGCTGCTGCTGCTGCTGCTGCTGCTGCCGCTGCTGCTCCAGAAGGTCCAGCACCCGCAGCTCCTGCCGCTCCCTCTCCAACCGCTCCTGCTCCTCACGCTCACGCCGACGGGCAGCCTGGAGACGCGTGTCGTGGCGGTGGGGGGGAGGGGTGGACTCCGCAGAACCAGGGTCTCCAGCGTCAGTCTCCTCAGACTCAGTACCCCCAGAACCAGTACCGCCAGTGCTAGGACCTCCAACTCCAGCACCCCCAGAACTAGCACCGCTAGTGCCAGCACCCCCAACTCCAGCACCCCCAGAACCAGCACCTCCAGTGCCGGCACCTCCAGCTCCAGCACCCCCAGAGCTAGCGCCACCTGCGCCAGCACCTCCAGCTCCAGCACCCCCAGAGCTAGCGTCACCTGCGCCAGCACCTCCAGCTCCAGTACCCCGCGACCGAGCACCCCCAGACCGAGCACCGCCAGCGGCTGCACCTCCAGCTCCAACACCAACCGAGTCCACAGTAACCTGTCGCGGAAGTGCCGAAGGCTGCTGAGGGGACTGTGAGGAGGACTGCGGGGAGGGAGACGCTACCTGACGCGCGACCGAGGGGAGAGGGGTAGCGTGGGACACACCAGACGGGGCAGGACCAGGGGGGGGCGGGGGTACCGGAGGAGCGGGAGCAGGAGGAGGAGAGGGTGCGAGGAAGAGAGGGGGAGGGGGTACCGGGAGACCTCGACAGGGGTACCGGGTGTAGTAGGACACGGACTCGTCAAACCGGACGTCACGGGAATCTAGGAACTGGTGGAGAGGAGGGTGGTAAAAGGACCAGTCAACAGAGTCCACTGGGAAACCAAGGAAGACACAGGGGACGGCGCGTGCCGAGAGCTTGTCCGCGGAGGTGTCGCGAACAAGTGCAAGGCAGCCCCAGACTCGAAAGGCCGACCCAACACCAGGGGATCCAGTCCAGAGACTGGTCGGTGAAGCCTCGGGCCGCGAGACACGCGGCTGGAGGTTCAGCTGGTGTGCGGCGTAGCGAACCGCGTGAGGCCACAGAAAATGGGGCGCATGGGCATGAATCATGGACGTGCGGGCGATGTCCATGACCAAGCCTATGCGGCGCTCAGCAACCCCATTCTGCTGTGGGGACTCTGGCAGCGTCCAGGACTGGGTGATGCCCTGTTCGCCGCAGAATCCGCCGAGAATGCCGGAGCGAAACTCGCCCCCACGGTCGGAGTGAAGACAACTGACTCGACGACCACGAGTGCCCTCAGTGGCTAGAAGCCACCTGATCAGCGTAGCAGTCACCTCGGACTTCTTCGCAAGAGGAAACACTGTGGTGTACCTGGAGAAGTCGTCGACAACCACCAGAAAGTAGCGCTCCCTCCCAGACCCCTGCGTCGGGGCAGGGCCCCAGACGTCCAAGTGGAGAGTCTCGAAGGGAGCGGTGGCCGGACGAAGGGAGGAGGAGTGGGGAGTGGCACGTAAGCGACCGGCGACGCACGGAGAGCAAGGAGGGGCAAGCGAGGGAGGGAGCGACGGGAAGGTGCGTGGGAGACCTGTGACTAGTCCCTGACTGAGCATGCCACGAAGGCGAGGGATCGACGGGTGGCCAAGACGGTGGTGCCACAGGACGGTGCGGTGGGCGAGAGAGCGACAGGAGCAAGACGCAGCGACTGGACTGGACACAGCGACCGGACTGGACACAGCCACCTGACCGGACTCTGCTACCGGGGGGGACGAAGCAACCTGACCAGACGCAGCTACCTGCGGGGGCGGAGTGTGCAGGACGAAGAGACCTGAGTGGGGCTCTCTGGTGAACGTGGCAAGAACTGCCCCGGTGGAAGAGTCCGTACAGATCGCAGTCCTCCCGTGCGCAGGAAAAGTGACTGTGATCCCCCGGTCCTGAAGGTATCCAACACCCACCAAGTTCCGAGAGAACGAGGGGATGTAGAGACCAGTGAGGAAACCAGAGGGGACAGCCGGACACGGGAGGGTGGTCGAGCTACGAGCAACTGCTGGTCCTGAAGTAGGATCAGCCAGGGCAACTGGGACTGGAGCCGAAAGAGGTGTGACAGTGGTGTGGTCGCGGAAGAAACACTGAGACGCGCCGGAGTCCAGCGTGAAGGAGAGCGACGCAACAGCAGTCGTCACGGCTGGGCTAGTGACTACACAAGCACCTACACTAAAAGCACAAGTACCGACACTAGCAACAGGCAAAGGTCCTAAGCTAGGTACACGTAAGCCAAGAGATCCGTACGTGACAGAATAAACAGCATCCATAGACATATCAAACACAGGGAAACCACTACGAAACAGACCGGGCCAGATCGGGGGAGCCGACTCAGGCCCAAAACGCTCACGGTAAAGGTCGTCGAGGCGGCTGTAGCAGCGCTGTGCAGAGTGGTCAGGACGCCAGCAGGTAGTGCCAGCACCAGGGCCGGTCAGGATCCGGTACTGGCAGGGGCCGACGTCGCGGCCACCGCGACGAGCCCCCCAGCTGGCTGGGCCGCTGCTGCAGCCAACGCGACCTGAACCACCAGGCCCCCATGGCTGCTGAGGGCGCCACAGCTGCTGAGGGCGCCCCTGCCGCTGCGGAAGCCACTGCTGAAAAGGCCGCTGTTGCTGTCCCTGCTGCTGGAGAACCCTAGCGGACTCCATGATAAAAGCTAGCGGGGTGCAGGAGCGGCAGGCTAGGAGCGACAGGAGCGACAGGCTGCTGTGAAAAACGAGAACAACTAGGAGCGCAAGGTGAAACCAGGCGAGTAACTGCTGGAGCACGGAGCGAACTAAGTTAGGAGCGCCAGGTGAAACTAGGTGAGGAACGGCTGGAGCACGGAGCAAACTGAGCTAGAAGCGCCAGGTGAAACTAGGCGAGGAACGGCCGGAGCACGGAGCAAACTGAGCTACGAGCGAGGAGCGAGAACGGCTGGAGCTAGAAGCGGCGAGCTAGGGCTGGCTGGAGGTAGGAACGGCCGGGGCTAGAGACCGTAAGTGCGGCTGTCGGCTGCCGCTAGTAGAGCCACTGGCAGTGGAAAGTACGTGCGACAGTAGGGGCTGCAGTACTGACGGCTGCGGGATGTAGGCAACTGTGCAGGTCGTCCGGCAAGCAGGAACGCGGGCGACAGTCGCAGGCCCCCACTGTGAACCCCCCCCTTTTTTTTTTTTTTTAGGGTTTAATTTATTTATTTATTTTCTGGCACTAAAGCACCCCGGGGCGCGCTGCCTGCAGGGTGTGCTGCCTGCGGGGCGCGCTACCCGCGGGGCGCGCTACCCGCGTGGCGCGCTGCCTGCGGGGCTGGGGTGACGAGCCAGGGAGGGCGCCTGGGCGACGGGCTAGGACGGGCGCCTGGGCGACGGGCTAGGACGGGCGCCTGGGCGACGGGCTAGGGCGCAGGCCTGGGCGACGGGCTAGGACGGGCGCCTGGGCGACGGGCTAGGACGGGCGCCTGGGCGACGGGCTAGGGCGCAGGCCTGGGCGACGGGCTAGGGCGGGCGCCTGGGCGACGGGCTGGGGCGGGCGCCTGGGCGACGGGCTGGGGCGGGCGCCTGGGCGACGGGCTGGGGCGGGCGCCTGGGCGACGGGCTGGGGCGGGCGCCTGGGCGACGGGCTGGGGCGGGCGCCTGGGCGACGGGCTGGGGCGGGCGCCTGGGCGACGGGCTGGGGCGGGCGCCTGGGCGACGGGCTGGGGCGGGCGCCTGGGCGACGGGCTGGGGCGGGCGCCTGGGCGACGGGCTGGGGCGGGCGCCTGGGCGACGGGCTGGGGCGGGCGCCTGGGCGACGGGCTGGGGCGGGTGCCTGGGCGACGGGCTGGGGCGGGCGCCTGGGCGACGGGCTGGGGCGGGCGCCTGGGCGACGGGCTGGGGCGGGCGCCTGGGCGACGGGCTGGGGCGGGCGCCTGGGCGACGGGCTGGGGCGGGCGCCTGGGCGACGGGCTAGGGCGGGCGCCTGGGCGACGGGCTAGGGCGTGGGCCTGGGCGACGGGCTAGGGGCGCAGGCTAGGGGCGCGGAGGGCGCTAACGCGCGGAGGAGGAGGGCACTAAGGCGCGGAGATGGCGCGGAGGGCGCGGTGGATAAGGCGCGGAGGGCGCGGAGGGCGCGGAGGGCGCGGAGGGCGCGGAGGGCGCGGAGGGCGCGGAGGGTGCTAGGGCGCAAGGGCGCGGAGGGCGCGGAGGGCGCGGAGTGTGCTAGGGCGCAAGGGCGCGGAGGGCGCTAGGGCGCGAGCTAGGCTAGGCTAGGCGAGAGGATCGACACCTACTCATGATACCATCTCAAAGTTAGCGAACAACGGAATTGTTGGAATAGAAACGAATGGGGTACAAATGAGCAACCCTAGAAGCTGTACCCCCTAGAGTGCAACTCACTATAGCCTATCATATCAATGTTCAACATTTGACACATGATAGGCAATGGTAAGAAAGAGAGAAATTGGAATTGGATTGTTGGGGATAAGTGTGTGCCTGGGGAGGTCTGAAAACACCAAACCCACAAAAAAGGCAGCAGGTGAGGCACGGCCTTGCCAAACCTCCCTTCCGAGCCTCTCACCAGCCTGCTTCTCACCTTCCGAGCCTCTCTTGCAGGTCCATGAGCAGCAGCCCTTTCAACAGCAGCTCCTCTGCTACAGCCGGCGGCACTGTCACCCACAGGAACAGCTGTAGCAGGTCCAGCAGGGGGAGGGCCGTGGCAGCTGTAGCAAAGGCAGCTGTAGCAGAGGCAGCTGTAGCAGAGGCAGCTGTAGCAGAGGCAGCTGTAGCAGAGGCAGCTGTAGCAGAGAAAGCTGCAGCAACTACACCCCCTCCGGTCCCATCTGGCAGCAACGAGGGACCCAGCAAAAAGGCCGTAGCATCCACACTATCCCCCCCTCGTCCTCCTCCTATTCCTGCTGCTAATACCTCTGCCACCTCCCCTCCGGCACCTGTTTTAAGAGACACCAAAGTGAGCAGCAGAGCCCATAGAACAGGACCCCTACTGCCCCTGCTGCAATTACATTCCATCAGCTACCTTTTCCGCCCGCTACCACTCCCCTATCCCCGTCCCCGTCCCCATCTCCCCCCACAGTGGTTGATGCAATGGCGATATCTGAAGAGAGGGGCTAATGTGGAGACACACAAAGACAGACATCAGGCATTGGCACACACCCTCACATTCAGGCATTGGCACACACCCTCACATTCAGGCATTGGCACACACCCTCACATTCAGGCATTGGCACACACCCTCACATTCAGGCATTGGCACACACCCTCACATTCAGGCATTGGCACACACCCTCACATTCAGGCATTGGCACACACCCTCACATTCAGGCATTGGCACACACCCTCACATTCAGGCATTGGCACACACCCTCACATTCAGGCATTGGCACACACCCTCACATTCAGGCATTGGCACACACCCTCACATTCAGGCATTGGCACACACCCTCACATTCAGGCATTGGCACACACCCTCACATTCAGGCATTGGCACACACCCTCACTCTCAGGCATTGGCACACACCCTCACTCTCAGGCATTGGCACACACCCTCACTCTCAGGCATTGGCACACACCCTCACTCTCAGGCATTGGCACACACCCTCACTCTCAGGCATTGGCACACACCCTCACATTCAGGCATTGGCACACACCCTCACATTCAGGCATTGGCACACACCCTCACATTCAGGCATTGGCACACACCCTCACATTCAGGCATTGGCACACACCCTCACATTCAGGCATTGGCACACACCCTCACATTCAGGCATTGGCACACACCCTCACATTCAGGCATTGGCACACACCCTCACATTCAGGCATTGGCACACACCCTCACTCTCAGGCATTGGCACACACCCTCACTCTCAGGCATTGGCACACACCCTCACTCTCAGGCATTGGCACACACCCTCACTCTCAGGCATTGGCACACACCCTCACTCTCAGGCATTGGCACACACCCTCACTCTCAGGCATTGGCACACACCCTCACTCTCAGGCATTGGCACACACCCTCACTCTCAGGCATTGGCACACACCCTCACTCTCAGGCATTGGCACACACCCTCACTCTCAGGCATGGACTCTGAGGCCCACAGCACACTGGAAACCGCCCTACAATCTCACCCCAAACTTCTTCTCGAAGTCCTTGTCTGTACAGTCAAGAAACTGGTGCAAGCACACCATCTTCCTTGCTGCATCCACAAGCTGCTGCTTTGTAAAAGCTCCCCCCACTGGTTCATCATGTCTGAAAAATTCCTCAATCTGTAGTCCATTGCCACGATCCTCCCCTTCGCACTGCTGCTCCTGCCTGCCACCCGCTCTTTCGTTCTTTCTTTCTTCCGATCCACATTCAACCCCCTCCACTGTGTCAGATCCTAGCTTGCTCCTCTGTTGCCCAGCTCCCAACGAAACAACTCTCCTGTCTCCTACACTCCTCCGTCGAACCGCTTCATGTGCCACAACCGCATAGCCCATTCGCACTAGTGCCACATGTCGCGGTCTGATTCGCCGATCCAAGCTGTAGTTAACAAAGTTCGGAAATGCAAGCACTTCTGCAATGGATAGCCCCATGTCCCGCTTTAAATACTCCACCTTATGTTTCAGGTTGAGCCCTGTATGTCTTGTCACCTTGAGCTCCAGACTCATTCTCCACGTCCAAAAAATCACCACCTCCCAACCTTAGCGTCCCACCTCCCTCTATTCCACTTTGATCCAGTGCCTCTTCCACTTCCCGCACAAGCTCTCTGAAATTGATCTTCATGTTATCTTCACTAGAAGACAGCAGCGAAGGAAATCGTGCCACCACCCGCACAGCATTCTCTCGGCCAAGTAAATCAACCAATACCGCAACCTTGCCTTGGAGGTTCTCCTTCGATAGTTGCAGAACCTTCGAGTAACTCCTAGCCACTCTTCCTGTTGCCTCCTCCCCAACCAGATTCACAAAAAACCGGAGCTTACCTAAGAGAGTTTCTTTGCTGAAACCGAGGACGTTGGGGGCATGACAGAACACAGAGCTCGCAATGGAGGGGGTGCCTGGTGGAGTGAAGGACTGGAGAATGGCAATACTCTCTGCAATGTGATGGGGATGACGAGAGAGGATGGATGGAAACTTCAGCATAAGCCTGCTTAGGTGGCTCATGTCCAGATGCTGCGCATCTACTCGCTTCTTCAAGAGGCTTGTGCGGGTGCACTGTACCTTCCCTCCGCACCCCGCCTTCAGGTAGGCTGATAGCATCGCAAGCTGGATACTCACAACCTCTTTGCTCTGACTCAAGATGGCCGGATACCTCTCGATAACCGTACCCAGCTTGTCCACAGGAACCCCTGCTTTCTCCACCAAAATGTCCAGGTTCGTCGAACGCGGCTCTTTGCAGAGTAAGCCCCATCCACGTCGGAGGACCAAACCCAATCTGCTGCGGCGGACGCCTTGAGCCAAAAGAAACTCAAGGGTGTTTTCAATTTGTGAAAGGGAGACTCGGAGCCAGGCTGGATCGCTCTCAGTGATGTCAACGATGTCGGCATGAGATATGCCGTATGACTGGAGGAGACGGACACGTGGCAGGAAGTCATTGGTGGGATTGGAGCGTAGGAGTTGGGGCTTAGAGGTGAGGAGGGAAGCGACAGTGGAAGGGGAGGAGATGCCGAGGTGGGAGGAGAAGAAGCGGTAGAGGGAGAGGAGGGAGGCAGGAGATACGACCCTCCGGCTGTTGAGTAGAGGAGGGGGTGTGGGAGGGGATGTGGTGGGTGGTGCGTCCTTCTCACTCGCTCCTGCTTCTGCTTCCTCCTCCTCCTCTTCCTCCTCCTCTTTCAATCTCCCCACCCCCTCTCCGTCCTCGCTGCTTCTTATCCCACTTCCTCACTCCTCCAACTCCTCTCTCACAATCTGAGGCCCGAATTTATCCTTTAGCACTCCAGCAATCACTACCACTGCCTCCTCCTCCTCCTTGCAGCCTCCCGTGCCATAGTTCTTCCTCTTCCTCTTGCCTCCCTCACTCTTCCCCGCTGCATCCCCCACTGCATTCCCCGGTACTACCCTCTCAATCCACTCATCCCCACCTCCATTTTCTCCCCCTTCCACTTTCCTGATGCTCCTCTGACCTCCTCTCCCATCCCCGCTCTCCTCGGCCCTCGCTGTACGCGTTTTAAGCTCCGCTTGCACCGCTACTCGAGGGCTGATCCTGGAAACTGATCTCGACCGAGGAATAGCAGCCTCCGCCTCGGAAGCTTCTGCGACTGCTGGCCTGGAAGACGCACCAGCGGCAGACCATGCCGCGAAGCTTCGGACGTGGACTGATAAAATCTCTTCCTCGAAACTTCGGCCTGGGTTGCGGATTTGAAAAGACGAGCCGTTTCGCGAAGGCTTGATTGGATTCGATCCGATCGGATCGAGGCTTGGCGAGGAAGGAACGGAAATTCGCGATGCGAATCGGTACGTTTGAGACGTCTTACAAGTAATATACCTGGAGATCCAATCTACGAATGGCCGCGACGTATGAGGTAGGACTAGCCATGATAGCGAAGGGCGAGCTGATCTTCGGGAGGCGGCGTAAAAGTTCATGATTCCAAATTCGTCTAATTCGTCGAGATCTTCCTGTATGTCTGGACGACCTTGGCTGGCTGGTGACGCGAAACGTGAAGTCCACTTCGCGTGCACGCCGGAATAGATGATAGATATTTGAAGACTATTTGAGTGGATGATTGAAGACTATATCTCTTTTTTAGCTAAAATAGCTATCTAGTTATCTCACCATCCCAAAGTAGTTAACGCGTGCCAGCATACTATGTACTATAAAAGTGGTGTGTACTTACTAAGTAGCGACTTCACCTCTGTGGAGTATGTACGAACATATGCTGATACAGTGTAACTACTACTCACTGCAGCGTGCAGTAGGTTCACTGTACCAACCCTGCTGGTACTCCGCGGGGGTTGGGAGTCCCCACACAGTGATTGCTGTGTCGCAACAGCATCCCTGGACATCGACTGGCGCTGCAGTATGGATAATGTCGGTAGTAGCAATCCCGGAACAGTGCGGATAATTACTACATACATTGTAGCCACTCCTCACGACATTACAGGGTAACACGTGTTACAACACGTAACAAAAACGTACACTGCATATGAAACTACATATATATTGTTATGACTCGTTTGTTTCGAGGTTATGAGAAAAAAAAACAGATCCAATAAATCATGGCACGACATACAGTGGCATCACTACACAGAGGCACGGCCACTATCACACACGGTCCAACTCCACATCCTCGTCTTCCTCGCCTTCCACGCTTGCCAAGGCATCTGCAAAATCCTTGTCCTCCCTCTCATCCCCCACAATCTCCACCGGCAGACCCCTCACTTCCTCCAGGGGTGGATACTTGAAGAAGACGTGGAAGTGCTTGCCGCGGCTAAACCGCCACGCCTCTCACCCGTGCTCGACGCGTCATATTGCCTTTCGCCTCTGCGAGCGTGCTGTGGGAAGGAGAGGGGGGGGGGAGGGAGGTAAAGAGGAGCGGCGGACGGTGAAGGGAAGGAGTGCTGCCATACGTGGACAGTTTCATGCACATCATGCAAATAGCAACGCACGAGTGCGTGTCGCGAAACGGGTTAAATTGGAGGTGGTAGACGAAACCGGAGGAAAGGCACACGCTTACACTTTATCGCATAACGCACTTGAACCATCCGCCGCCACGTCGCTTTCGGTTCGTCGATAGCTGTTGTTACTTACGAACGTCCTCGTCTCCGTTTCGTGCGGAACTGTCGCCACGTCGAGCGCAGCTGTTGGTGGTGCGGGAGGGGTGGCATAAGCAGGGGGGATTAAGATCTTCGTCGTTATCTTCGCATGTGCTTAACCGGAACCGCAAAAATATGGATCGGGGAGAGTCCTGTCAATATCAGTTGCGAAACATGAAGTTGGTTTGTGAGGCGCAAAACGGATTGAGAAGGGAGAAAATGAGGCACTTCCTTAAATATTCATGTACACGGCGAGCACGAAGTACCCGCCGCAGCGGAACAAGGCATACATAAGGAACAATGCATACATAAGGAACAATGCTGCAAACATGTTTACGATAAACCAGAGACAACAAACACTGAGCCTACAGTGTAATCCAATGGTGTGGATATGAGAGTAATCACCTTTGATGCAGGCACGGTGTGTTTGTCTGCAACAAGCAAAAACGGGAGTAATCACCTGTGATGCAGGCACGGTGTGTTTGTCTGCAACAAGCAATCAGTACCGTGAAATGTTTATCGGCGATGAATAAAATGTTCCACTGCAATCGGGACAGAGGGAAATAGTACAGAGGGTGGATACAAATTAAAACGTCAAGCCAAAAAGCATCGTAATAGGATCAAACGCGCAGATTGCTTAGAAACGTTCGAACTATTAACTAAACGTTCACACTGATTCTGGCCTGCGCAAAGTTGTGGATAACCGCCACGTTCACGGGGGAGTGCAAGAACAGAGAGAAGGTAATAACTAAAGAAAACCTAAGACTCAAAATTGGAGCAGCTAGAACAGAACGAGAAGTGTTGAAATGAGAGTAGGCATGGGATAAATATGCTCAGGGTGCTCAGTCGAAGGTGGGTTATCGTAAGGCTTGGGGGATGACAGGTGGCGCGAACAGGTGTGCCCTAAACTCCTCTGATTGGCTGACACTTGTGTATCGAGCGATTGTGGCGTTTGAGAAAAGAAGGCACCAAACCCTAGCCAGCTTTACTAAACCCCAAAAGAATTTAAATCTTTCAGATCAAAACAAAAACAACTCGTTTAGCGCAGTGCGCTGTGTTTAGCGTGCGGTGCCGATGGTAAGGAGATCGAATCTCGTCAGGCAGCCTAAGCGCGATACTGTTACTTTTATGGCTTCTGTTTTGTTGTACTGTATCGTCATGTTTCAACGGACGCGAGTTTCGAACCCTTGACCTTTCGCTTACCCATCGGGCAAAAACAGGTCGCACACAATTGGGGGAGTCGATACATTGAATATATAATGTGGGTGTAGATGACCAATTCGAACTCCCCACGTATACACCTGATGTGCAGAGGAGGGGGAGTCTCCACAGAGTGTGGAGAGCATTCACGTTACATTGTAGGGACAATGCTCGATCCCTTGGAGCCCGGATAAGTGGGTGTGTAGTTGGAGATCGGATGGAGTGGCGAGTTAGTAGCGAGTGTAGCCACAGTGCATCTCGAAACACACAGTACAGACTCCCACTGTCCAAACCACCCCCCCCCCCAATAACAAATTTGGGATGACTGCTCCATATGATGCGCGATTCCCTAAAAGTCAATCTAGATCAACTGGGTGGGTTCCTCCTCGGGGCTACCGACGCGACTAGTGTGACGATCACAAAGGTCCAGGAGTGCGGCTTAATTAGGTGCGTTGCGTTTACAAACGTAAACATACGTTTACAGAATGGTTGAGCTAGGTGCCAAGCGAATTCCTGCTTTCCTTTCTGAGTGAGAGTACACCAAACAAAGTGCCAGAGTTTGAGAAATCATTCCAGGGTCGCATTCAACTACCGTATCCATTCAGTCCGTACCTTGGGAAGGAAGTGAATCATCGGAGTTGGAAAACATTCGGTAAAAAAATCGCCAGAGGTTTGCATAGCACCGCTGCGAAATTAGCGAACCAATGTTCGTCGTGATCGTCACCATTCTATCCAAACTGAACTGACCTGACACAGTGCGCACTTGAAACACACCCTCCCTGAGGCGGATGTGATAGACACTGGAATTCGAACATCCACCTATCCTCCTAGGTCCTAGAATCGCGTAGTACAGCTCGTGAATCCTGGAACTCCCCGTTTTTGTAGTACGTGAATTAACTGCTTTAGTGCACGTCCAATACATTCATACTTTCCTCCGCGCCTATTGACGTCATCGTTTTTTCCTCATGCCTCTAGAATTCAATGTTTTCGCGGAACATTCGTGTGAGCTTAGAGTCGCTATCAGACAAGCTCCCGACCAACAGTCGCTCGTGACGTGACGAGTCGAGCTCGACTTCGTGAGGCTAGATTCTGATTTTCAATGATTTTCAACGCTTTTGCGAGCTTAGCCCAGTTATCGCTGTCTTCGGCTTGACGGTGCAGGAGGTACGTTCACGCATGTGCACCAGCCGACCAGCAGTCTCAAGAAACTTCTTCGAGTCTGCATGCATCGCAAAATGGCGGTGTAGGAGGAGTGCGCGCGCTCGCCATACCTGCCTGTTATTGTTGCATGTCCGCCATTGTCGGTCTTCCTCGTTCTCGCGCTTAGGTCACCTCCCTTCTGCTCTCGTCTCAACTCCCCCCCTCCCCCCCACCCCCTACCCTGCCGCGCACCAACCTCGCCGCACCAATCACCCGTGCCTGCGCGCGTAACGGTGCGTGCAGATGCAGCTGATGCTGATAACAAAACCCGCACAAGGCAGAGCGGCAGCAGCAGATGGGCACGGAGAGTGAGAGCGGGTGCTCCCCTGACCAGATCGCCAACGCCTTCCTCGAGGTGCGGTTGAGGGGCAGGGAGACGTGGGCGTGGGGAAGGGGAGTTATGGGGGCAGGGAGAGTGTTGGGAGATGGCTGGGAGAGGGGAGGGTGAGGGGGAAAAGAGGCCATGGAGGACAAAAGTGCGTGCTTCCGTGGCGAGATCGCGGACGCCTGCCTCAAGGTGCGCCGGGGGCGAGAGGAGAGGCGCGCGGGGAGAGTTGGGGAGAGAGTTGGGGGGAGGGTGGGGAAAGGTGGGGAGAGGGGAGAAAGAGGGGAGGGAATGGGAGTTTTGGTTGGTGATGAAGGTGTGATGAAGAGGAGGGGAAGAGGGGATTAGGGGAGACAGGGGGATAAAGAGTGTTGGCGCAGGACATGCGCGCGTGGCCGTACCTATGGGAGAGTAAGGACAGGGGACGAGGGCATAGGCAGGATATTGAGGGATTAATAAGAGTTGTGGGCTTTGAGGGATATGGGGAGGCGGTGCCACGATAAAAAAGGTGAGGTCAAAGATGCAAGTAGTGGGAAAGTTCTCCTTTATTCTCTGCTACGCCTCTAACCCACCCCTCTCCTCCGACCCTCTCTACCCGCCCACCCTACCCCCGAGGAGCCAGTGAGGAGCCAGCCAGCCTCCGAGGAGGCAGTGGGTTCCGGTGGCCAGCGCACCTTCACATGAGCCTCTCCCTGACCCCTCCCTCCTACACACCGCCTTTGGTCTCCCCCCGTCTCTCTCCCGCCTCGCCCTGTGCCTGCCAGGAGGAAACTGCCCTCGAGGAGGCAGTAGGATTCGGTAGGTAGCGTACATCCCCTCTCCCCTACACCCTCCCTTAAGCCTCTCCCTGACCCCTCTCTCCTACCCACCGTCCCCCCCGTTCTCCGCCCTTCTCTCTCCCCCCTCGCCCTGCCCCTGCCAGGAGGAGTCAGCCCCCTAAGAGGTAGTGGAATCCGGTGGGCAGCGGACGTCACTGTACGTGCAGATCACTGACGTGGGGCTGTAAGCGGTGCACCCGCCGCCCTCCCATCATGTGTGAGTGCCAGGCCAGGCGTCTACCACTATGTGTCATCGCCTGGGTCCGACGGGTGAGGTAAGCCCGGCTGCAGGCCCATTGTGGCGATGAAGGGCTGGAAGGGTGGTGGAGGCCACTCAGCCGGAAAGCTGGCTCGTGGCTTCGGGGCCGAGAGGAGGTCGCTGAGGGTAATCACGCATCACGCGTCCAGAGCCTGCTCACGCTGGTCACTGAGGTCTTCCGAGGTGTCGCGAGTCCTGGTGAAGCCGCCCAATTCTCCAGTCTACTCAAAATTTGGTTCTGGTGAAGCCGCACCTAATTCCTATCACCTTTGACTGAACCTGCAGCTACTAAGTTAGTTCCATGCTTCAAATTGTCGCCTGGCTAGACACCACTGCCGCACTCAATTCACCCCATCCTCCATTTTCATGTGTTCCCTCTGCCTCCCTTCTCTCCCCAATCGCCCCTATCCCTCTTCTCTGTCTTCTCTCCCATGTAAGACAGTCCAAGGCATGGCATGCACCCACGGTCACCGCTTTTTCACCATGCTGCTCTCCCGAACCTTTCTATGTGTGTCGTGCATCCGAACCTGTCTAGACCCTCTCCTGCACCACACTATTCTTGCCTTCACATCTTGAAAACTGTTCCACACCCGCATACGTCTCTCCTTGCTCAAATCTTCTTTCATCTCTTTGAAGTTCAAAGTTTGAACCCTCCCTATATCCTGCAGGGTACCACCAGAAGCTGCCGTTACACCCTCTATTCCAGGAAGAAGCCTGCATGCTCCTCTATGAACAAGCGGATGCATACCCAGACCTGATGCACAAATCTGTTTTGCTTGAGATAATGTACAGATTACTCGAACATCTGCTCATCTTACGTACATGCCGTAGGCATGGCTGGAGCAAGGTACAATTCCGATCCAGTATTGTATACGAAAACATGTGTACCAACTAGGGTAATTCTCCATCAGAATCTGCTTGCAATACTCAAGATGTGATCGTCTGGTGCCACTACAATGGGTCTGCCACTAGAATGGACAATTACCAGTAGGTCTCTCAATGATATGCCAAAATTACGTGTAGTACATCCACCGATACGACGTATGTCCCCCAGGAAGGCGCAGCTTGCCTTCATTGTCGTGCAACTTGTCACACCCTGTAAAAGCCACACGGTCCAGCAGCTCCAGCTCGCCCACATCGCCAGGCAGCGCCTCCAGCTGCTTGCACCCCTCCAAGTCGAGCGCTTGCAGCCGGCTGAGGCGTGCAAAGTTGGGAGGGAGGGATGTGATGGCGGCCTTGTGCACGGTCAGCTCGCGCAGGCAGGCCAGCTGCGTGAGGGAGGCAGGGAGATGCGTGAGCGCTAAGCAGTTGGACATAATCAGCTTGCACAGTCGGGACAGTGCCCCGATGGAATTGGGAAGCGCACGCAGTTTAGGAGCGTTGATCTCCAGGTTTGTGAGCTTCTGAAGAGCTGCGATGGTTGATGGGATCTCCGTCAGCTCAGGCAAGCATAACTCCAGCTGACGCAGCTCCTGCAGCGTCGACGTGGAGAAGTCTGGAAGCTTCACGACTCCGGTGCTCACGAGTGCGATGGTGCGAAGGCGAGGCAGGTCCGCCAATGGGAATGGGAGCTCGCCCTCACATGCCAACACCAGACGCAAGTGCTCCAACGAAGACAAGCTTCTGGACAATGCGGAGGGGAAAAACACCATGCTCAAACTGACTGACTTGAGGCTGGAAAGAGCATAGATACCCGGCAGATGGGTGACCTCCAGATAGGTCCCCAGCCTGAGCGTTTCCAGCGACCCCGGCAAGAACTCTGGAGCCTTTCTCAGCAGCGCACAGCCGGTCAGCTCCAGCTGCTTCAGCGTCGCCAAATGCATGAGGCTCGTGGGAAGGAACGGAGAACAGGCTGCTGCACTTGTCAACCACTAGCACGTCTAGGTTCAGTAGGGCTGCCACGGACTCGGGGAGCTTCTGGATCCGAGAGCAGGACAGCACATACAGCTCCCGCAGGCGTGTCAACTCCCCCATGGCCTCTGGCAGCTCGGCCAGCTCACACTTATGCAGCTCCAGCCTTGTGAGTGACGCGAGCTGGGTGAAGGAGGGCGGAAGCAGATGCCGTGCCCTGTACGATTTCAGGTAGAGCGTGTGGAGGTTGGTGAGGCCTCCGATGTCGGCAGGGAGAATGACCAAGGGGGAATTCGCGAGGCACAGGGTCTTGAGCACTGTGAGGGCGCTCAGCGGGTCTGGTAGCTCGCCCATATACACACTCTCCGTGACTATCAGCGTCTCAAGAGACTGCAGCCGGCTGCACGAGCCGGGGAAATGGGTGTTCAGATTGTGCAGCACGAGCGTTGTCAGCGCGGGCATCTGGCCGAAGCTGTCCGGCAGTCCGACGACCGTGCAGTTTTCGAGCTTCAAGGTGCGCAGGCGGGTCAGCGCGGTGGCCTGCTCGGGTACGTCGAAGAAGGTACCGCACGCGTCGATGCTGAGCTCGCGGAGACACGGCATGCGATGGCAGATGTCGTCCGGGACAAGTCGTCGCACTGGAAAATCGCCAACCGCTCGAGCAGGCTGCACGGTGACTCGGGAGGAAACATCTCATCGAACGGCGGGCATGCTTTCCCTAGATTCAGCGTCTTGAGCGAAGATAGGCGTGCAAATGAGAAGGGAGGAGAGGCCGAGTGGTATTGCCAAGGAGAGACGTCTTCTGGCACGGAGAGATGCGTGAGGCGTGGCAGGTGCGCGAGGTGCTCCAGGGTCTGATAGTCCCCCACCGAGTCGATCCAGAGCGATGTGAGAGCGCTCAAGTTCTTGACTTTTGGAGTTGTTACCGCGGGCAGATCGGCAACTGCGAGGGATCGGAGATGCACGAGGTGGAAGAGCGAAGAAGGTAACCGGAACTCGCAGTGCAGGCAGGCCAGCGAGAGGTGCTCCAGCCGCGGGCACCGGCGGAAGAACGCGTCGAAGCCGGCTGGCGTGAGAAAGATCTTCCCCGCCTGGTCGAACTCAGGGTTCTCCACTATCGGCCTTCCGAGGTGGAACGCCGTCAGATTAGGGCAGCACGCGGCGAGGCGAGCGAGGAAGGCGTCATCGATGGCCTGCGCGCTGCCGTCGTTGAGATGGAGGCGCGTGAGGTTTGGGAAGCATTTTACAGGCGCCGCGAGGTCCTCGAGAGACACGGCGCGGTTCGTCTTGACAAGGAGCGTGGACACGTGGCGCCGAGCCAGGCGACGCCAGCGGCGGCAGATCGACGCGAGGAGGAGATTGTACGCGGCGTCGGCGAATGCTGGAGGAAGAGGGGGAGCTGGAAACATGGTCTCGCTCTGCTGGTAGCATGCCTCGTCTGGATCCTCGCGATTGAACCTCGGGGGAGGCCGCACGGCGGCCCATACATCCTCATCGAAATGCTCGCGAGAGAAGAGGCGCTTGGAGGGCCAGAAAACGGCAACGAGTAGCTCATCAGGAAGGCTATTGATATGCAAACACGCCATAGTACCTCAGGTTTTAGGTATGGTTGTAGAAATGTTAGAAACGAAGACCTTTGCAGATGATGGCTGCGGCAGCTACCTCCTCTCCTTGCCCTCTCTTCACTCGTCTACGTTCTCTGGTAGGCCTCGTTGCTATCTGCTCGGTGTAGATCTGACAGTATGAGGAACCCCGAGGCTTGAGTGCCAGAGCAGCGTGTTGCGGCCACGTATTCTCCGCAACGAAGGGCTCGGAGCCTGGGAGCCAAGTTGGGACAGAAGCTGGGCGTGTTCCAGAACCAACACAAACCTCCAACAGCTTGTGGTAACAGGAATACAGCTGACACATGGGAGAAACCCAAGGCGGGCCTTTCCATAAGCGATGACCCTGTGGTTTTCAAATCACTCCGCGAAGGTTTCGCTGGTATTGAGTTTTGGTAACCCATGTAAAAGCGTCGGTTCACGTGTCAGTGACGAAATTTGTTCCTTTGTAACAATTTGGGGTGATGTCTTCGTACTCTTGTGTGGAAACCCGTCCAGTCGCACAAAATACTGAATGGTTTGATTTACGAGGGCACCTGTTTCTAGAAATTGCGATCGCATATTCCAATCCAACTAAAAAATGGCGTGGCACGTAGTTCCACCTTTTCAAGCTTCTTTTCAGCACAAACGTGTCGCTGCATCAGTAAAATTTGCGACGACGAGAGTTTTATTAGGCGTATTACCATGAGCGAGGGTGATGGCGACTTGATTTTTTCTACATTGTCGAAGACACATACGTCATTATCTATCGGCTTCTGTAGTATCGCATCAGCTCCGCCACTAGCAGCGCGGAAGCCGGCGGGGTATTACCCTCGACCATATTCAACTGATATTACATACTTTGAGGCCGCGCGCGGCGTCGTGCGGATCTGTCGCGCAACGATGCGAGAGACAGTGCACAACAGCAGCACAGTCGCTCCCAAGTTTCGGATCGCGTTTTTTTCTCACACTCCTCGGTTTCCCCCTTTTGCCTTTCCCGTCCTCGACAGCTCCTTTAGTCTCGGCGCTGCTGCCATTCACGATCCACCTTGCTGCGGTTGGGATCAATCCCAGTGAACGTGGGATTCGCAATCTCAACCATGGAATTCCCGCCTGTATTTCGCGCACGAACCGAACGACATCGGTTGGAGGGCTTCTCTCAACGGTCGCTGTTGCCTGTTGAGGCGAATCGCCGTTCGCGTTTGTCAAACGAGTATGTGCTGCCGATCGGCTGCGTGCACAGCTGTTCAGAGCTTCTTTTTGAGGCGCCGATGCTCTAAGCAGCATATCGCAGCAAGCACTTTGCAGCCGATGCTTATATGCCTGTTACCTGTAGTCGATGTGGTTACAGATCGCACAAGCATTTGCTTCAAATCCTGATGCTCAAGCCTCGTATTCCTGATGATCCTCGATAGGAGTGTCGTGTTGCGACCCACCCAACTTTCGTCTCGTGGTGCGTTTCACCGGTTAAGACAATGGGTGGGGACACTGCCAAACAGCGCGAGCCGCGGTGGCGGCGCGAGTGGCAGTGACAGGGATTTTCAAGCGCACCATGAAACGCTCCCTTTCCCCCTATGCCCACCTCCCTACCCCTCTCCCTCCCTTTCCTGTTACCCACTCCGCTACCGTGCCCCGTCGCGCGACTCACCCCCATTAAATCCACCAGTTCATTTGGAACGGCTGGGCTTGCGTTGTGTGATGTGCATATGTGATGCGTGTGCAGGCATCACCTCCACGCGTGTGAAGCCGGACGATGACCGCGCCGTGCCTTGTCGGGATGACGCCTTGCGGATCATGCCGCTCTTTCCCGCCGCTGCACCACCGCCAGCGGCGCCGCTGCCAGAAACGTAATGTCTGCCCCATTAGTTGTGCACCTGCGTCTCGTACAAGCCCACTTGCCGCCCGACTGCCTGCAAGCCCGCCATGTGTCACACGCCTGCCTGTCTGCCTGTCACTTGTCGCCCCCTGGCCGGAACCCTCATGGACTCCGCCTTGTCCTTGGCGTCAGTTGTTGCCCGCTCGCCTGATCACGCATGCTACCCTTCCCACCATGGCGATGCTCCTTTCCCTCCTTCCCTGCCCCCTCCCTCTCCCAATTCCCTCCCGATCCGTTCGCCCTTCAGCTCCGCGCCTGTGCAGTCAGTCAGTGCAGTCAGTGTAGCCAGTGACTGTGATTCCCTACCTAATTTCTGCTCCTCTGCACTCACTGCACTGACTCCCGCCACTTGTCTTACAATCTCATCCCACACGCCACCGCCACATGGCTCTAGCCCCTGCGCACCTTTCCCTCCCCTCCCTACACCCTCTCCCTCTCCACCTCTCTCACCTTCGCCCCACACCAGCACGGGCGCTTGAACCCAGGGCGCGGGTGCACTGACTACCTGAACAACCTGCGGGTCACAAGCAGGTCAGTCTCAGTCAGGTCGGTCTCATGTCCATCTCGAGTCACTCTAATGGTCACTTGACTCACGCTCCTGTCATTTTTATGTCATTGTTGCCGTTGCACACACTGCGAATGCCATTGTGTTATCCAAGGTGGAAGTGCGGGACTAACGGGGACCAATATTATGCAACACCCTCCTGGCCTTTACTACTGCCCCCTTTTCTTCTGGTCACCCTCCAGATGTGCATATCAACTGTCACTCTGTCTCAGTGTCCCCCATTCCCATCCCCATTCCGATCCCCATTCCCATCCCCATTCTGATCCCCATTCCCATCCCCATTCCCATCCCCATTCCCATCCCCATTTCCATCCCCATTTCCATCCCTATTTCCATCCCCATTCCCATCCCGATTCCCATCCCCATTCCCATCCCCATCCCCATCCCCATCCCCATCCATATTCCCATCCCCATTCCCATCCTCTGTCCCATCCCTCCCCCCGTCCTCTTCCCCCATCGTCTTCCGCGTCAACATACCCATCACCATCCCCATCCCCTTCTCCATCCCCATCACCATCACCATCCTTTTCCCCGTCACTAGGTGAGCATGGTGCAGCCAGTAGCCTGCATCACTCGCCACCCTCATGGCTCTCTCCGTTTGCCCCTCTGTTCCCCACTGCCCCCCTTCGCACCTCTCCCCTCCTCAGGTGTTCGCATTGCAGTAGCCATTAAATTTCCGCTCCCCCCCAGCTCTGCACTGCACCTGCGTCTCCAACACCCACGTCTGCCCCACTGCACTGCACGGACTCGGACCCCACAGGTGGGTGCACTGCTCACCGAGGGAGAGGCGTCTTCCGCCTCTCCCTCCGCCCACTCCTTCCCCACCCCTCTCAGCTCCTCACATGTTTCTCCCATGCCAAGTCTGCACAAATTCTCACCCCTACCCCTATGGTGTGGCGGCTATGCCCACCCTCTTACTCTCCCATTCCCGCCTCCTCCAACTCAGTCCATGTCTTTCCACCATTTCCGCGCCGCACCTGCTACTCTTGCACCCATTCGTGGCCCATGAATTCCCGCTCCTGCAACATGGGCGCACTGTTCACAAGAGAATCCGCGGGCTGCTGGGTGCACTCCTTGCCAGGCGGCAACGCACCTTCCCGTTTTCTGCCCATTACCCTCTTTTGCTTCCCCTGCGCCCCTCCCTCCACCAGCGTCGCACCTGCTTCTCCTGCGCTGATTTCTGGCCCTCTTTCCCGCCCTACAACTTGGGCGCACTGTTCACGGGCAACCTGCGGGCTGCTGAGTGCACTCCTCAAGGAAGTGCTCTGTCAGGGAGGTGGCAGGTCAGGCGTGAAAGCGGAGAGGCGTGAAAGTGGAGGAATGTGAAATGGTGTGGGCAGTCTAGACCAGAATCTAGAGTCCATAATCCATTGGCCCCAGAAGCCATAAATTGTGGAAAAAAAATCAGGGTCCGCTATGCACCACGAGCCGTGACACGCGAGTGAGTACTATGTTCAGCCATGCACCATGATGCATGGATCGCTACTGCTTATGCCTCTCACCCTATGCCTTTGGCATAGCATTCATGCTGCATAGCATGGCCTTGTAAAATGGTTCTCACACACACCGCCAATGCCTAACACCATCTGTTTGCCCACTTCCCAGTTGCCGACTCTTAGTCTTCAAATGCACGGGCATGGTTGGTAATTATGGTCCATGAGCCATGAGTTATGAGCGATGATGATATGCCATTAGTTTCCCAACGCAAAGAGCCATGAGCCATGAGCCATGAGCTGTCAGCCATGAGCCAATGTGTTGCCATTGGTTGCCCAAGGCAATGCTCTCCTCATCACCTGCCTTGTAGTGTTTAATCGTATGGTCTTGGTATGGCATGACCTGTGGAATACAAGCAAAGAGAAATCATTCAACAGCTGCGTCTTCTAGCCCATTGACTCCAGACCTTATCCCTGACTGGCTCCCTCCCACATCTCTCATAAGCCACTGTGCTGTTTACCCTCTCACCCCGCTCCCCTCCGTCACCTCCCTCCCACCCTCAGCTGCGCACCTGCTTCTCCCACACCCACTCGTGGCCAAGCATTCGTGCCTCCACAGCACTGTTCACACACAACCTGCGGGCTGCTCAGGGCACTCGGAGCTCCTCAGGACAGTCAGGGCTGCCGCAAGCAACCTGCGGGCAACCTGCGAGCTGCTGAGGCGAGGGCGGGGCTGCTTGGTTTCGGAGGCGGTTTCCTTGCTCAAGGACGAGCAGCTACGGGGGAAGGAGGTGTGTGCGTCCTACTGGGAAGTCCTTGTGGTGGTTACGAACCCAGCTGGGCCAGGCTGCTGGGTGCCCTGTGGCCGTGCTCTCATGCGACTCTAAGATGATTCAGCACTGTTCCAGTTTTTTCTCCTCGTGACATGCTAGAGGCTGATCTGTGAAAGGTTGAATGACGCCCGGCTGAATGATACACTTCTTGCCGCGGCCACGTCTTAGCCCCATCGCACCCTCTTTCAACTCTCCCCCCCTTCTTGATATTCACCACGTGTCTCCCCGTCTCGGGTCCTCTGCCCGCCATCACCCTCCTATCGGCACCTCAAGTATCCCACTCAAGGAGCAGCACCATAGCCTTCGCGACTTCAGCCAGCACCTCTCCCTCCCTCCTACATTGCCTACACCACCCACTGTCTGCTGTCGCACCTTCAAGCACTATCACTCTCTCACTCTCACGACCATCTGATATGCTGTCACTCCATGCCCCGTGCTTGATACGATGAGACATGATACGATTGAGCCCGAGTTTTTTTTCACCGGAGTCGGAGACATAAGGTCATATCGGTTTGAAACGATCTTTTTGAAACGGAAATGTGATGAGTGATGTTATTCATGCCATCATCTACATGCTTCGTTTGAAAGTGTAAGGAATTTTCCCGAATTCCTTATCGGGGTTGACTGCTTCGCGTACAGCCCGATTTTCGGACTTTGCACGTTCGGCCAATTTCAACGCTGCCGAGGCTCCTCGCGTCGCCTTCGGCATTTTCCCATCGCCAAACCTGCACCCAACCTCGCTCACCCGAGGTTCCCTCCTAGCTAGGCTAGTCCCTACATTAGTCTGTGCCTTCATTGTATTCGCAGTTCATTCAATCACAGCCTCGTTATTCGTTTACCTGCGCACTCTCTTTTACAACTCATAACACCTGGTATCAGAGCTACTTTCCTAGTTCACCCCGCTTTTCCGAGGGTAGTTTGGTGGCACGGGTGTGGTCGGTTTAGTGACTACACGACAGTTGGCTGCAAGGTTTGTTAATTCAATCCTGCCCGACTCCGATAGTTCGTGTTTTCATTTACCGGAAGGCAACGGATACCCGCTTGCCCACCAGACGCAGTGCTAGATACATGGATCAGGAGGCGGTTAACAAGTTGATGACGCAAGTGGCAGAAATGCAGGAAGGCATGAGATCGTTAATGGCGGAAGTGACAACACTGCGTGAAGAAAACGCCGAGCTACGCCAGACGCGAGGTGAAGCGCGTCAGGGGTTGCCCGATGACGAAGGCGAAGGCATCAGTCAAGCGATGAGCAATCCGTTGGATGCGCTCACACGTGACCTCGAGGAGGAAGACAGGCAGCGAGCGGCAGCAGCACCAGTTGCAGTAACGACGATCAAGATAAAACCCGTCAACCCGCCCCCGTTCAACCCTACGGACAAGACAGTTACAGTAAAGGGGTGGCTGTTCGGGGTCGAAGTCTTCTTCACTGCAGCACGAGTTCACGACGATGCCACGCGTATTAATTACGCGGTTTCGCTTCTTCGAGGTGCAGCGCTTGAATGGTGGCGCCGGACCTTGGAAACGGGAACACCGACAGGTGTGACACATGCGGCAGACGGGACCTCAACAGTGACTAATCAAGTGGCACAATCGATCTTCGGAGTGACCACGATACGCACGTGGAAGGAGTGGGGCGCAGCCTTACGAGATCGCTTCGAGCACGTATCCGCCTCGGAGCAAGCTCGCTTGAAGCTGCGTGCATGGTCGCAGATGGCTTCTGTCCAAGACTACACGGCGTCATTTATGGGCCTCGCCGACCAAGTTGATGACATGTCGGAAGCAGAGCGGTTGGATAAATATATCAGCGGCCTCAAATACGAGATACAATACGAGGTTCGCAGGGGCCGCCCGACATCATTTCTTGAAGCAGTACGGCTGGCGGAGTCAGCAGATGCGCTGATGCAGTACGCGAGAGCAGCTTCCAGGGATGGAAACCGCTTTCGTGGCCAGACCCATCGGGCCACGATCAACGCCGTCCATACACCCGACCGCCCTCCTAAGGGACCGTGTTTTCGGTGTGGGAAGACGGGTCACTACAGGAAAGACTGCCACGAGAAAATGCCGCTGACGGGGAACGACAGGAAGGAGCAGGGAAATGGGACGAGTCAGTAATTAGCGGGCCCTTTACTGACTATGCTCCGTCGCCCGAACCCCACCATCCCCACCGATTCGTGGTTCCGATTCATGCAATCGATCGCACTCGGCCGAATAACGGGGATAATCACGTGGATCACCCTGTGCTGGTCGCTGGCAAGGTGTTAAATAATAATTTGAAAATGTTCGTCGACGGAGGGGCCAGCCATAGCCTCTTCAACTTGGCGAGCGCAAAGAAATGCAAGCTGCAACTTGACAGGTGTATGCCCGAAATCGACGCTCGCCTCGTGGATGGGACGCCTCTGGCGATTTTGGAGGAAACACGGGCGGTCAGGGTCGACTGCGGCGACGATTTCGGCTTCAGCATGAAGTTTCTCGCGACAACATTGGACGGCTGCGACGTGCTGCTCGGACGTGATTGGCTGCGACGACACAACGCCGTCGAAGCACGGGGGGCTAATTAAGTTGCCTGCATGGACACCTGACTACATCCAAGCCCCGTGCGTCAAAGCTGTCACTATAGCACGCCACTTCAACAGGGGCGCGCAGCTGTTCGCTCTTTGCTTACGCGAGTTGGCGGTTGACACCGACGGAAAGGACATCGAGAAGCTGTGTGCAGCTGTACCGCCGGATTTAGCGGAGCTGATTCGAAGGTACCCCGACATTTTCCCCGACGACCTGCCACCTGGACTGCCACCCGAGAGACCTGAGGACCACAAAATCCAGCTGGAACCTGGCGCGCAGCCGACTGTTCGGACACAGTGGCGGTTGACCCAACCGGAACTCGAGGAGCTGCGAAGTCAAATTGACGCACTGTTGGAGAAAGGGTTCATTCGGGCCAGCACATCTCCCTTCGCAGCACCAATACTGTTCACTCCGAAGAAGGACGGCGGGCTTCGCATGTGCGTCGGCTATCGCACGCTGAACCGGGTCACCATCAAGTCTCGCTACCCAATCCCACGCACCGACGACCTCCTCGACCAACTTCGCGTCGCTCGCTATTTCTCGAAGATTGACTTACGTGGCGGTTACCACCATATTCGAGTCTTCGCCGACGATTGTCACAAGACTGCGTTTCGCACCAGCTACGAGAGTTACGAATTTACAGTGATGCCTTTCGGCCTCACGAACGCGCCTTCGACATTTCAGCTCACCATAAACAGGGTTTTTCGGGATCTTCTAGACCGATGTGTCATCGTCTATTTGGACGATATCCTGATTTTTAGCAAGACACGGGAGCAGCATCTCCGCGACCTCGACGCAGTGTTTAAACGGTTGCAGGAGAACCGACTCATCACCAAGGGCTCTAAGTGCGAGTTTTTTAAGCAGGAGTTAGAGTTTTTGGGGCACGTTATCTCACGCGACGACATTAAAATCGACCCGGCAAAAATCAAGACCATACAGGAGTGGAAGTCCCCGACGAACGTCACGAAACTACAGAGTTTTTTGGGGTTCGTGAATTACGTCCGGCGGTTTATCCCGAATATGGCGGGGATAACCGGCCCGCTGACCGACCTGCTGCACAAGGACAGGAATTTTGTGTGGGGGGAGGAGGCAGAGGCGGCTTTCCAGGAGTTGAAGCATTTTCTTGTTTCCCCTCCTGTGCTGCGCATCGCCGACCCATCGAAGCAGTTCGAAGTCATCACCGACGCCTCAGATTTCGCCATCGGAGCAGTACTCCTCCAGGATTTCGGGAACGGATTGCAGCCGATCGCCTACGAATCATGCAAGCTACAGGCAGCCGAGCGCAACTACCCGATTCACGACAAGGAGATGCTCGCCATCATTCACGCGTTCAAACTCTGGCGCTGCTACTTGGTGGGCGCCGGCGTCACTGTTCGCACGGACCACAAGTCCCTACAGTACTTGCGAGCCCAGCCCAACCTGAACCCGCGACAAATTCGGTGGCTGGATTACATGGAGAGCCACTTCACCTACCGCATCACGTACAAGAAAGGGGCGAATAACATCGCCGACGCCCTGACCCGACCGACAGTACAATCCGCTGCAGTACTCATCACCCATTCGAACCCACTACTTACAGGACTATTTACCCACGGCTACACTACGGACCCATTCTTCACGACCGGGAATCACCAGCAGGCCACGACGCAGAAAGGGGACTATCACTTAAAAGCCGGAACCGACCGGATTTGGGTTCCCGCTTACCGGCTGCTGCGTGAACTTCTTATCCAGGAGGTCCACGATTCGAATTTCTCCGGACACTTCGGGGTTGATAAAACCCAGAAATTACTGCACTGTCAATATTACTGGCCTGACTCCTCTAACGACGTGCAGCGATATGTGTCCTCATGCAGGGTGTGCCAAGCCATGAAATCGACACGTCAACGACCAGCTGGATTGCTGCAACCCCTCGAGCCGCCCGAACGACCGTGGCAACAGGTGACAATGGATTTTGTCACGGAGATGCCAGTTGGACCGTCCGGCAACGACGTTGTTCTCGTCGTCGTCGATCGCCTAACGAAAATGGCGCACTTCGCACCCTGTCAAACGAACATCACCGCCGAAGAAACCGCGCGACTGTTCATCTCAACGGTCGTGCGACTGCACGGTATTCCCTCGGCGATCATCAGCGACCGAGATCCAAAGTTCACGTCCAATTTTGGAAGGAGACGTGGGCACAGTACGGCACGAAACTACAGTTCTCATCGGCGTACCACCCACAGACGGATGGCCAGACCGAGCGGACCAATCAGACCATGGAGCAGCTGATCAGGACAAACTGCCCCGACCCTGCCCCGTGGGAAGAATCGCTCGCCATGTTGGAGTTCGCCTTCAACAACGCCCCGTCTAGCACGACTAATCACTCCCCGTTCTTCCTCAATTACAGGATGGATCCGACGGTGCCTACAGCAACAACTCTGGACAACCCGGTCCCGCGGTCACAATCATTTGTGACGGAACTCCAGGAAGTTTGCGAAAAAGCTGCCGACGCAATTCGGAAGGCGAATATTACTTCCCGGAAATACACCGACCTTCTACGCCGAGAACTCGTCTTGACAACTGGGCAACTGGTGCTCCTCGACACGAAGAACCTGCACTTGCCCAGGCCGTCGAAACAACTGTCACGATTTTGTGGGCCATTCAAGATTATCAAGATGGTGACACCTGTTACCGCGAAGCTATTGCTACCCGACGACTGGCGCATTCATGACGCCTTCCACGTCAGCCTGCTTCGAAAGTTCGTGCCAGCCACGACCGACATCGCGCGGCAACAAGCTGCACCAACTGCACGACCTGTCCCGGAGCCGACTCTCGACCCCTCGAAGATTCTGGCACATCGGGTTCGCCTTGACGCAGCTGGTCGCCACGTGGATTTCCTCATCCGTTGGACGGATCGCACCAGTGAAGACGACACGTGGGTGCACTCCGACTCGCTGGACGCCTCGTCACTTGTTCGTGATTATGTGGCGCGCAAGCGTGTTTCGTATATTGACCGCCTTTCTTAAGGGGGGGGGGGGGGGGGTAGTGTAAGGGGTTTTCCCGAATTCCTTATCGGGGTTGACTGCTTCGCGTACAGCCCGATTTTCGGACTTTGCACGTTCGGCCGATTTCAACGCTGCCGAGGCTCCTCGCGTCGCCTTCGGCATTTTCCCATCGCCAAACCTGCACCCAACCTCGCTCACCCGAGGTTCCCTCCTAGCTAGGCTAGTCCCTACATTAGTCTGTGCCTTCATTGTATTCGCAGTTCATTCAATCACAGCCTCGTTATTCGTTTACCTGCGCACTCTCTTTTACAACTCATAACAGAAATATTATATTTGTAGTTTTATTATAGTGAGCTTGTTATGAGCCTGATATACATACGCATATATGTATAAATTTTGGTGGTGCCAATCGTCACAAACGAGGACTACGATTTTTGTGTGGATCGCTGAAGTCCCTCGCCACTTCGCTTGCTTTCGCCCAGCGCAAATTGCCGAAAATTATTTTCACCAACGCCTGGAATCTGAAATCCAACCTTCGGGCTTCGACGAGTCTGTCTCATCACAGAATTGTGTTTCAGCCACGGCAATATCAGAGCTGGTCCCAGAGCTGGTCTCGAGACGATCTAGGTTACATCAGCAGGCCCCTCGTCGGGTATTATTCCCGAAACTTGTCCGGAAACGACGGTCCGATCGCGCTTTCCCAGTCACGTTTCTGATTGGACATGTTCTTTCGTTCCATGGCAAGATCCAACATGTTCAGACGACGCATCGACGGTTCTGGGATGGCAGAAGCAGGCTATCCTCAGAATGGACCGCCAAGCACTGATCCACCCCATACGACTGAATCTGATGGCATGGTCTCATGCTCTCCCAAGGCGAGCTCTCCCAAGACGATAGTCACAGTTAAAAAAGCCTCAGCCCATCATAGCGTCGCCTTGTTCGAAAAGCGTCCAACGGATGAAGGCGTTCCTCGTGAAACGGATGAAACAGTGTGCCGATGGTCTCGTAGAATCAGCTTGTTCAAGGATTACGAGTCTCGTTGGGCTTCAGTCATCGACAGCGAGAGAGTACTACTACGGGCCTCTCCGTCTACAGTGAAAGCGACGGATATGAATTCAAGGCAGTGGTTGGCTTTAAAACCCGGGTCTCATATTTTCTAAGGTGTTACACTTGGTTGGGGTTAAGGGGCTGTGATTGGGTAACGAGGGGCGAGATTTTTGACGAGCAGGGTGGAAAACAGTGACGAAACCTCAGTTCGTCTACGGAAAAGCCACACGAGCCCCTCAGGTTTGGAAAGCTGCCACACCTCGAAAACTGATCCGGGAAATCGCACGTGCATGCGACCAACTGAAACGACCCACTACAATTCGCCCACCTTCAACATGAAGAGCAGCACAAAACCCAGCCGTGATTCATAGTAGCTCCGCATAGTGGCTCCGCATAGGGGCTCCGCATAGTACCCAAACATAGTACCTCCGCGAGCACGATGCTGACCCTAGCATAGAAACGGAGATTACGCAGTCCAATAGATCGCATTTAGAGAAATTCAGCAGGGATCCGAACCGCGTACTTACTTATTAGTCACTGTACAGCTACGGAACCCGTACACGTGACGGCGCACAGCGAGCGTGCGTGCGTGTGTGCGTGCGCGCGTGCGTGCGTCCGTGCGTGCGTGCGTGCGTGCGTGCGTGCGTGCATGCGTGCGTGCGTGCGTGCGTGCGTGCGTGCGTGCGTGCGTGCGTGCGTGCGTGCGTGCGTGCGTGCGTGCTTGCGTGCGTGCGTGCGTGCGTGCGTGCGTGCGTGCGTGCGTGCGTGCGTGCGTGCGTGCGTGCGGGCGGGCGTGCGTGCGTGCGTGCATGTGCACGGAAGCTCCTCCCTCATTATGCCACTCGTCCCTCAGCCCCTCACCCATTCCCTCTCTCCCCAAGTATCGCTCCCCTTCCATCTGTCCCCTTCTCTCTCTCTCCACTTCTCACTCTCCCCCTCCCTCTCTCCGTTTCCCTCTCTCCCCTTTCCTCTCACGCCTTCTCTCTCTCACCGTCCCTCTCTCCTCCCACCCTTCTCCCCTTCCCTCTATCCCCTTCCCTCTCTCCTATTCGCTCCCTCCCTCTCCCTCTCTCTCATTCCCGATCTACTCCCACCCTCTCTCCCCTTCCTTCTCTCCTCCCTTCCTCTCTCCCCTTCCCCCTCTCCTCCTCCCGCCCGCAGCTGTTCTCAGGTCAGCCCATCCACTGCATCAGCAGCTCGTTCCTCTACCACCCCTCCACCAACCCATTTCCTGCCCCAGCTGCCGCACACGCTGACGCCAGCTTGGGTGCTTGTACTCCTCCCACTTCCCCCACACCTCCTCTCCTCGGACTCCCACCCACCACCTCTCTCACCCTGCATCCCTTCCTGCTCGAAGCTGAGTTGTATAGGAGCAGGGGTAGGTGAGGAGGGTGTGGGTGTGGGCTATGGCGACTGCCTTCACTAGAGAGAGGTGAGGGGAGTGGAAGGGGGAGGTGGGGAGGTTGAGTGCTGTGGTGGCCGCCATGAGTGTGGAGATCCCTACCCCTCTCCATCTGCCCTCCTTTCTTCTCATTACCTCTACTATGCCGTCTCATTTCCTGACCCATCCCTTCACATCCCCCATCCCATTCTTCCCATCTGCGCTCTCTTCCTTCCCATCTTGCCTGCCAACCATCCGTCCCATCCGCACTGAGCTCAGATCACCTCGCCCTTTCAACTCCCGCCCATGTTCCCATCTCACCTCCCTTCCTGTCCAACACCCTTCCCCTCATTTCAACTCCCCTCCCTTCCTTCCTACCACCTTTCTCTTCTGTCACTCGTTTCCCTCTCCCCCCCACCCCCGCGCTCTCCTCTCTCTTTCTCCTCCCGCCCCTCCCCCTTTCTGTCTCCTCCCTCCAGGTGTTTGAGATGGTGGGTCGCGACAAGCCACCACCCGACAAGCCCTGCTCTTTCCCACTGCCCTCCCCCGCGCCCGCCCCCGCCACAAAAGCTGCTGCCGCCTCCGCCCTTGCAGTGGGTGCCGCTGCAGTCGGTCGCTGTCGCGTCCGTTATGGGGTGGCTCAAACGCACGCGCCTGCCTGCTGCTGACGAACACGCGCATTGGGTGGGTGCATAGGAAGGGGGTGGGAGTGGGTTGGGAGGGGGGGAGGGGGGGGGGGGGAGGGTGTGGGTTGGAAGTTGGGTGCGAGTGGGTTGGGAGTGGGTTGGGAGTGGGTTGGGAGTTGGGTGGAAGTGGGTTGGGAGTGGGTTGGGAGTTGGGTGGAAGTGGGTTGGGAGTGGGTTGGGAGTTGGGTGGAAGTGGGTTGGGAGTGGGTTGGGAGTTGGGTGGGAGCTGGTTGGGAGTGGGGGAGAGGGGGATATGTCTTTACTTAGCCAGTGCTCGAGTTTGCCCCCCGTCATGCCCTCCCATGTTTTAGGCCTTGCCCCTTCTTATTGCTCCTGCTCCTGCCCTTCCCCTCGCCCCTTGCTCCTTCCCTTGCCTCTTGCCCTTCCCCTTGCCTTTGCCCCTTGCGCTTGCCCACACTCTTTCCCTTGCCCTTGCCCTTTGCCCTTTGCATTTGATTTAGGTTATTGCTCATGCTCTCGCCACCAACCTCGCCCCTAACCCCTTCCCATGCCTCCCAACTTCGTCCCGTGCCATGTCCTCCCCCTTCCCTGCCATTCACCTCCCCTTCCTGCCATTCAGGATTTAGGTTTCATCTCACTGCCCTCGCATCTCCTCTCCCTAATTTGCACTGTTGAAGTAGTGGGGCAGCGTACTGAAGCAGATATGCTGCTAGTTGATGTTTTATACCTATTTATGTTCCATGTGTGCTGTACAATATGCAAGCTTAGCGATGGATTACTGTCAGACACATGCAGCTCGATGTGTTCTTTTCCTTCCATATCTGCAAGACCCTTCCAAGAAGCTTAGTATAGAAGCTTACTCTCCCACCCTGCCAGAAAATGTACTGGGCTGCTTTGTCACTCAAAGGGTGTGACTTGCGAGAATGTGGCGTGGTGAAGCATGGAAACTCCACATGCTAGTCACTGAAATGAATGCGATGGACGGTAGAGGCGAAATATGAGAAATGAATGCGATGGACGGTAGAGGCGAAATATGAGAAATGAATGCGATAGACGGTAGAGGCGAAATATGAGAAATGAATGCGAGAGACGGTGGAGGCGAAATATGAGAAATGAATGCGATAGACGGTAGAGGCGAAATATGAGAAATGAATGCGATAGACGGTAGAGGCGAAATATGAGAAATGAATGCGAGAGACGGTGGAGGCGAAATATGAGAAATGAATGCGATAGACGGTAGAGGCGAAATATGAGAAATGAATGCGATAGACGGTAGAGGCGAAATATGAGAAATGAATGCGAGAGACGGTGGAGGCGAAATATGAGAAATGAATGCGAGAGACGGTGGAGGCGAAATAATAGAAGGTCATGGAAATAGCATAGGCTGTAATGGCTCAACATGATGGAGTGTATGGAAGACAAAGGAAAGAGGATGTAGAGAAGGGAGAGGAGAGAGAGATGAAGAGATAGGAAGAGGGGGGACATGGAAATGAGGACTCAATAAGAGTGTGGACAGAGACGACAGAGGGAAGGGAAGGGAATGGGGATAGGGAAGGGGCAGGGGCAGGAGCAGGGGCTGGGGCAGAGGCAGGGGCAGAGGAAAGGGAAAAGGAATGGCAGGGAGGCGGGATGTGCTGGGTTTAGAAGGGGCTCGGGGGGGTGTGGTGAGCAAGTTTCGCCAGCATTGTCCATGAGCTGGTGGGCGTGATGTGCGATGCCCATCGGGCTGTTGTGCGCGGCATGCGGTGAGGCGTGGGTTAGGGCATGAACGATGGTGTGTGTGTGTGTGAGGTATGGGGTGCATGGGGTAAGGGCATGAGGATGGTGTGTGTGTGTGTGTGGTATGGGGTGCATGGGGTAAGGGCATGAGGATGGTGTGTGTGTGTGTGTGGTATGGGGTGCATGGGGTAAGGGCATGAGGATGGTGTGTGTGTGTGTGTGGTATGGGGTGCATGGGGTAAGGGCATGAGGATGGTGTGTGTGTGTGTGTGTGGTATGGGGTGCATGGGGTAAGGGCATGAGGATGGTGTGTGTGTGTGTGTGGTATGGGGTGCATGGGGTAAGGGCATGAGGATGGTGTGTGTGTGTGTGTGGTATGGGGTGCATGGGGTAAGGGCATGAGGATGGTGTGTGTGTTTTATCGGGTCCATGGGGTAAGGGCATGAGGATGGTGTGTGTGTGTTATCGGGTGCATGGGGTAAGGGCATGAGAAGTGGGAAAACCAGGTAAGAGAAGGGTAGGGTTAACCCGGGCATGGAAGGGAAGTGGAGGGTTCACTGAAAGGAACGAAATGGAAGGGATGGGATGAGTTTAGAAAGGGGAGGGGAGGGTAGCAGATGGAAGTGGGATGAGGTGGAGGGAATTGTAGAGTATCGATGGGAAGGGGAGAGGAGAGAAGGAAACAGTAAGGAAGGGAAGGTGGGGGAAGTGGTTGGAAGGTAGTGCAGAAGGGACAGGAGGTGAGGCATAAGGGGACTGCGGTGAGACAGAAGGGGAAGGAGTTGCCCGCTCACTTACCTTATTGAAACCGATTGTTGTAGTCTAGGTCCCTATGTCATGCGCATAGTCCATGAAACTGCAAATACATTGGGCGATGTGTTTTTGAGAATATCAGGACCAAGTCTTGAGGAAGCATGAACACAATGCAAAATCAATGTTCTTACCGAGAGGGTACTCTTCGCGGACGTTTGGACGGGCCGCAGCATCTTGCAGCATCCGACATGGCTTTCGAGGTTTTTTTCAGTTTCCCAGTTGGTTTGAGCACCTGTGGATCTAACGGCCGTACGAATGGAAGTGGCAGGACCGCTGGATCCGTCACGGATCGCGACAAGAGTTTGAGTAGCAATAGCTCCGGGAGTAAGCCGACTGCAGCGCAAGTGGCGGTCTCTCTCACTGTTGCTCCCAACGAGCTTCTGTCATCAGTTTTCAGCCGATTGTTTCAGTCCCACCTGCACAACTGCTGCCTTCCATGCGATACACGTCAGCAGCAGGGAGGACAGGGTGGGGTGAAATTGGTAGAGCAAAATTCTGAAATTCGGAAGCAGGAGGTTCGTTTCATGGCTGTTGGGCAGCAAGTGTGCCTTTCTCCTGACTTAACCGTTGAGCAAGCCAAGCTTAGCGCGGGTGCAACTATCAACGTGGCTTCCTTGAAAAAAGTGCATGGGAAACGGCGGGATAAGGGCGAGGTGGAAGTTGAGCAGATCGGGGAAGCTCCTGGTGCTGAATCTGCTAGTGGTGTACTTCATTCTAATCTTCCTCTTTCGAATTCTGCTGCTACGCCTGCTGTTTTGCCCAGCGGATTGGTCCCTATCAACCCTAGCAGCAAGGATGACGAAGGTACCAAGCCGAAGAGAGGAGTCTTGACTGGGATTGGCGGAGCAGTGCTGAGGTGCCGTGATTCTGATGCTGGCAGTAGCAAGGAAAAGGATGTGGAGGAAGGTGCTGCGAAAGATGTACGTTTGTTGCGGCTTCCCATGATAGTGAGCACCTTTGAGAACGGTCCTGCAACATCCGACATGGCTTTTGAGGTCACCATCAGAATCCCAGCTTGTCTGATGGACCGTGGATCTTGCGATCATATTAGAAGTGGCAGTTTCTCTGGAACCAAACCATCGGCGTCACACATGGGTGTTTCACTTACTGTTGCTCCTGACGAGCTTTTGTCATCGGTTTTCAACCGACTGTTTCAGTCCCACCTGCCCAACTGCTGCCTACCATGCGAGACACGTCAGCAGCAGGGAGGTCAAGATGGGTTGACAGCGGTTGATAAGGACTTGGCAAATCGGAAGCAGGAAGTTCGTTTCATGGCTGTTGGGCAGCAAGTGTGCCTTTCTCCTGACTTGACTGTTGAGCAAGCCAAGCTTAGGGCGGGTGCAACTATCAATGTGGCGTCCTTGAAAAATCGAAGGAAGAAGGCCGTAGAGAAAGTCGAGAAATTGGGAAATCTTCCAACTCGTGCATCTGCAACTGCTGTTTCTGGTTCGCTTCTTCCTCCTACTAATCCTGCTGCTGCAACTGCTGTTTCTGGTTCGCTTCTTCCTCCTACTAATCCTGCTGCTGCAACTGCTGTTTCTGGTTCGCTTCTTCCTCCTACTAATCCTGCTACTGCAACTGCTGTTTCTGGTTCGCTTCCTCCTCCTACTAATCCTGCTGATGCAACTGCTGTTTCTGGTTCGCTTCCTCCTCCTACTAATCATGCTGCTGCAACTGCTGTTTCTGGTTCGCTCCCTCCTACTAATCCTGCTGCTGCAACTGCTGTTTCTGGTTCGCTTCCTCCTCCTACTAATCCTGCTGTTGCAACTGCTGCTGCTTTTACCATCCAATTGGACCCTCTCGAGCCGAGCTGCATGGAAGGCGAAGGGCACAAGCCGAGGAGAGAAGCTTCACCAGGGACTGTCGGAGCATGGCTGAAGTGCCTTGATTCTAGTGCTGGCGGTAGCAAGGAAGAGATTGAGGGGGTCATAGTGAGCCTTGAACGCTTGACAGAGACTTTTCAGAAGTTGAAAGAGCAGTCCAAGATTGTGGATGCGTTGTGCTTGACAATCCAGATTGAGAGTGCTCGACTGGGACAGTTAACTGCAGCAGGCGGTGGGGAAGCACGGCAAGTGGAAGCGAAAGAGGAAGAGACAGTTGCTGGTGGAGCGGCACGCTTGTTACGGACCGTTAAGGAATTGGAAGAACACTTGGCAACTCTTAAGGTGCTGCAGAGGGAAGTAAGTTCCGCAGTCCAGATCGGTCAGAGTCAACCAGGTCAGCTTGATGAGGTTAACGGAGGGGTAGCACAGGAAGCAAGGGTGGAGGAAGCAAGGGCGGAGGAAGCACGGGCGGAGGAAGCAAGGGCGGAGGAAAGTCCAAAGCCGCGCCAGTTGCTGTCTCATGCCGACATGATTCACTACTTAGACGTGACAGGCGGGTGGGATGAGGATCTGTGCGCGTGCAACTTTGACCGTGCAGTGAGCCAGCGAGCACAGCGAGCTCTTGCGATTAAGGACCTTGAGGAGTTGCGTTGCCACCTGCGCAAGCTGCAGCCTCGTTCCATCCCTGCAGCTGCCCTGGAGCAGCAGCAGCACAATCAGGCCGCTTTTGAGTCCGCTAAAGGGGTATTGGAGCAGGCTGTACGAGAGCAACATGGAGCTTCCCATCAGAATCAGTCTGCGCGGAAGCCAGGGATGGCGCCTCGCCTTTGTGCGGAAGCCATGCTGCTCGAGTGGATGGCTGAGCCTCGTGTGGGCGTGCTCATGGACCTGGGGAAAATCAGATGCAGACTGTCTGCTCATCTGTATGCTACAACTGCTGCACCAGCTGCTGCCCCTGCTGCTGCCCCTGCTGCCCCTGCTTCTCTTCCTGACCCTGCTGCTACTCCAGCGTGGTCCTGCTGCTGGCGCTGCAGCAGCTGCTGGGCTGCCTACCGACGTGCTGTCAGCTTCTCGACGTTCCTTGTGCTTGTAGCGAAATCTCCCCGTCTTGTGACTCTGTGGAAAGCTCACTTGGACTCGCATTCGTCTGCCTGGCCAGCAATCGTGGCTGAGCTGGGGGCGAGCAGGCAGAGGGAGAGTGACAATTTTGCATCCATGCTGGTGCAGGTGCTGGGGGTGAAGGAGAGTGCTGATCTGCAGGAAGGGTTTGGGCTCTTTGTGCAGCAACTGTTGTCAGGCGGGCTGGAGAAGGCTCATGCTGAGGGAGGAGGGATGGGGGGAGCTGAGGAGAAGGCTGCTGAGGAGGTGCATGGGGAGGGAAAGGGGAGGGGGAGAGCTGCGGAGAAGGCTGCTGAGGAGGTGCATGGGGAGGGAAAGGGGAGGGGGAGAGCTGCGGAGAAGGCTGCTGAGGAGGTGCATGGGGAGGGAAAGGGGAGGGGGAGAGCTGCGGAGAAGGCTGCTGAGGAGGTGCATGGGGAGGGAAAGGGGAGGGGAGAGCTGTGGAGAAGGCTGCTGAGGAGGTGCATGGGGAGGGAAAGGGGAGGGGGAGAGCTGCGGAGAAGGCTGCTGAGGAGGTGCATGGGGAGGGAAAGGGGAGGGGGAGAGCTGCGGAGAAGGCTGCTGAGGAGGTGCATGGGGAGGGAAAGGGGAGGGGGAGAGCTGCGGAGAAGGCTGCTGAGGAGGTGCATGGGGAGGGAAAGGGGAGGGGGAGAGCTGCGGAGAAGGCTGCTGAGGAGGGTGGGGAGGGAAAGGGGAGGGGGAGAGCTGCGGAGAAGGCTGCTGAGGAGGTGCATGGGGAGGGAAAGGGGAGGGGGAGAGCTGCGGAGAAGGCTGCTGAGGAGGTGCATGGGGAGGGAAAGGGGAGGGGGAGAGCTGCGGAGAAGGCTGCTGAGGAGGTGCATGGGGAGGGAAAGGGGAGGGGAGAGCTGCGGAGAAGGCTGCTGAGGAGGTGCATGGGGAGGGAAAGGGGAGGGGGAGAGCTGCGGAGAAGGCTGCTGAGGAGGTGCATGGGGAGGGAAAGGGGAGGGGGAGAGCTGCGGAGAAGGCTGCTGAGGAGGTGCATGGGGAGGGAAAGGGGAGGGGGAGAGCTGCGGAGAAGGCTGCTGAGGAGGTGCATGGGGAGGGAAAGGGGAGGGGGAGAGCTGCGGAGAAGGCTGCTGAGGAGGTGCATGGGGAGGGAAAGGGGAGGGGGAGAGCTGCGGAGAAGGCTGCTGAGGAGGTGCATGGGGAGGGAAAGGGGAGGGGAGAGCTGCGGAGAAGGCTGCTGAGGAGGTGCATGGGGAGGGAAAGGGGAGGGGGAGAGCTGCGGAGAAGGCTGCTGAGGAGGTGCATGGGGAGGGAAAGGGGAGGGGGAGAGCTGCGGAGAAGGCTGCTGAGGAGGTGCATGGGGAGGGAAAGGGGAGGGGGAGAGCTGCGGAGAAGGCTGCTGAGGAGGTGCATGGGGAGGGAAAGGGGAGGGGGAGAGCTGCGGAGAAGGCTGCTGAGGAGGTGCATGGGGAGGGAAAGGGGAGGGGGAGAGCTGCGGAGAAGGCTGCTGAGGAGGTGCATGGGGAGGGAAAGGGGAGGGGGAGAGCTGCGGAGAAGGCTGCTGAGGAGGTGCATGGGGAGGGAAAGGGGAGGGGGAGAGCTGCGGAGAAGGCTGCTGAGGAGGTGCATGGGGAGGGAAAGGGGAGGGGGAGAGCTGCGGAGAAGGCTGCTGAGCGCAAGGTAGAGATTGACGGGGTTGCTAGCAAGTGCTCGAGGGTCACAAAGGACTCGCGTTGGCGGGAGCGTCTGAAGGGGCGTGTGTGGGAGAGGTATGTGGATGGCATGGGTTGGATTCTGGAGCATGGAGGGGGGGAAGGGAGGGAGTTCAGGTGCAGCCACTGCAGTGAGGGGGGCAGCAGCAGCAGCAGCACCAGCAGCAGCACCATTGGTGGCGGTGGCGGCAGTAACAATGGCAGCAGAAGCAACAGTTGCAGCGTCAGCAGTTCTGGCAGCAGCAGTAGGAGCAGCAGTGCTCCCAAGGGTATGCACATGACTGGTGTCGATGCGACCGATTTCGCCCTTGCTGTCACCACAGTCTTTATCTCAACCAGAGCACTGGAAGGATGCAGGGCTATATTTCCATGATGGGAACACTGCAAGCAAGGTGCAGGTAGAGAGGGCAGCTATTCTGGTGGCCAGGAAGAGGCTGCTGCAGCACCGCTTGCAGCAGAGAAGGGGGATGGATGAAGGAGCAGGAGCAGGAGCAGGTGTAGGAGAAGCGCCTCCTGCTACTGCAACTGTAACTGGAAGCGTTGATATGAATGATAAACCTGCCAATAAGCTCGTGCCTGTCATTACGAATTCTGTGGTTGCTGCACTCACGTATCGGGTCGGTTGCATCTTGCAGTGGGTTCGAGTCTACAGCTCAGATTCCATCTCGGAGAATCAATGTTTCAAAGGCAGCCCTAAGAGCAACGTCCGCCCCATGCGCCACCCGCTTCGGGACCTTCCGAGGCTTTTGATCAGGTTTGGCGCCATTCCCAAGCCTTTAAAAGAAAGCAGCGTTGCTATGGAGTGGGAGGAGTGGCCTCAGGGCGACGAAGCTGCTGTGAAGTTTCCTGCCAACCGAAAGGAGAGGTGTTTTGGGCTTGGGATAGGGGAGGAGCGTGATGAAGCAGCTGAGAAGTTGACTCAGGACCCTCCTCATCGCATTTCTGAAGCAGTAGCTGGCAGCAGGCGTGCAAAGGATAAAGGGTCGAATGCAGAAGGCCAAGGAGGTAGCCAGGAAGCTGAACGAAGCTTACCACTTGGGATAGCTGAAGCAGGAGGGGGCAGCAGGAGTGCAAGTGTCTCCAAGGCAAAAGCGCAAGGGATGTGGGAGAAATTCATGCAGAGGACAGGGCGTGAAAGAGCCGAAGCACACCGAACCGCTGAGCTGAGAGCAATAACACTACCGCCGCCCAGAAGGAAGCTTCCCATCGTTCGCTGCCAGGCAGACGTGGACTTCCTGTTGGGGTTTGCTGGTTATAGGATGAACCCTCCTGCATGCACGCAGTGCATGACATGTTACTCTAAGTACATGCATCATGTGTGCGCCGTTGCTCTCATCGCCAATTTCGCCTACCGCCCCGTCAGCCACCTTTTCTCCCGCGTGCTCTCCGTCTTCCCGCCATCCTCCCGTGGCTTTGACGATGTCGTTGGGTGCTTGGACCTTCCAGCTCGCCTACCCAGGCCATTGAACCTGCACATGCTGCTGAGGCGGGCCGAGCAGGTGCCTCTGTACTTTTTGATTGGCATGGCAGTGTGGTTCGCTCATTTTCTTTTGGGGACTGATGGGTTCAAGAAGGAGTACCGTGGGAGAGGGCAGGCAGAGAAGTCCAAGGTACAAGGCCGCTGGGATGGTGAGGCAGATCAGGAGAACGGTGGAGAGGTGTGGGAGGAGGTGCGGATGTGGTATTCTGCAGCAATGGCTGCATGGAGGTTCAATGTGGGGAGCGAGGGAGAGAGCGCAGAGTGTCGAGGTGGCAGGAATCGGGAGAGAACAGCAGAGGAGTGTGACATTATGTGGATTTTTGAAGCATCTATCACACCGAGGTACTGTGAGGGGTTGCAGGGGCAGCGTGGGTTTGTCAAGGAAAGAAGCCCCACTGCCAGCAGTGCTGCCAGCAGCAGCAGAGTTTCTAAGGGTGGCAGCAGCAGCAGTTCTAGCAAGCGGATTGGCAAGCAGGGGGAGGAGCCAGCTTATCTGAAGGCATGGCCGGGGGGAGTCAATCTGGTGGCATGTCTGCGAGAGATGCTGCTGGGGGAGCCGTGCTACCGCCCTGCCTCCGCTGCTGCAATGTCCACCCCTTCTACTACTTCCACCCATCCTACTACTTCCACCCATCCTACTACTTCCACCCATCCTGCTGCTGCTATGTCTTCTCATCCTGCTGCCTCTCCCGCCTCCACTGCAATAAGCATGCGTGCTGCTGCTGCTGCTTCTGCTGCTGCTACTACTGGTGCTGCTGCTACTACTGGTGCTGCTGCTACTGCTGCTGCTGCTTCGAATGTCCAAGGCCATGTGTGCGGTGCTGCAGGATGTGGGACGGTGGAGGGTGGTGGAGTGAAGCTGAGGAGGTGCAGTGGGTGTGGCAAGGTGGCGTATTGCAGCAGAGAGTGCCAAAAGGCGCACTGGCCCTCCCACAAGCTCACATGCCCCGGCAGGAGCAGAGGAAAGAGGAGTGGGAAGGATGGGAGTGGGAATGTCTGCATGAAAATCAGCAAGGAGTGTGGTTGTGAGGATTGCGGTGAGAATGATGGTAAGGAAATAAGGGGGCATGGTGGGGTGATGATTGGCGAGGTCAGTTGCATGGGCAGGTGCAAGGACAGTGGCGGGCACAGGTTCAAAAGCATTGGCGAGGAGAGCTGGAAGGAGGGTTGCGAAGTTGTGGGAAGGAAGGAAGAGTGAAAGTGAGAGGGGTGGGGACAAGGGAGTGTTGGGATGCAGTTGTGAATATGTTTGTACCACCCGTCAATACGGTCATGACAACATGCTAATTGCAGAACAGTGATAACCTAAAATTGCTGATTATTCTTTGTTATGAACACAGCATTCACTTGGTAAGTGACATATACGTATAGGCACAATCACTTGGTCACACAATCACTCGAGTAGGAAGAAAGTCTAGATTTGGTAAAATCAATCCGGTGATCACCCTCCAACAGCCTTTGATGATGTGCACCCTAAACCCTGCTCTGCACTGCATTGCATCGTCTAGTTGCGTCTTCATCTTTCAGCAACACATTGTCTTAACGCCAGAGTGAACGAGTAGCAAGTGCAGCTACAGCGCTCGTCAGTTCGCCCCATCTGCCACTGGCTGATCCAATAACACTCCACTTGCATTGCAACCACCCATCCCCATCTCCCTCCATTGCATTGCCCTTCTCGTCATCATTGGCCTGCTTAGACCCTCCTCCTGCAAGCACTGCTGCAGCTTGCAGGCCAGCAGACCATCGCCTGCCCCCACCTGCCTGCCACACGTGGGAGGGGCGGGAAGTCGAATAGTTTTCAGAGGAAAGGAGACGGGCGGATATGAAGATTGCAAGTGCGCATGCCACTTTATGCTCACAACTGAGTGACGGCAGATGAGGGTGAGGAGCGGAGAGAGGTGCGAATCGAGCAAATGTTGAGGCGTGGGAGGAAGCACTCAGATGGAAAGGGCAGGGAATCAAACATAATTCAGGGTGGGAGGGAATGGATGAGCAGGCGCTTGGGTGTGAAGCTTAAACAAGTCCTTCCCAGCAAGCTTCGTTGCATGGGAACCCGAGAAGAGCAAACAGACAGAGCATAGGAAGGCAGAGCATAGCAGGAGGAGCATAGCAGGCAGAGCATAGCAGGCAGAGCATAGCAGGCAGAGCATAGCAGGCAGAGCATAGCAGGCAGAGCATAGCAGGCAGAGCATAGCAGGCAGAGCATAGCAGGCAGAGCATAGCAGGCAGAGCATAGCAGGCAGAGCATGCAATACACAACCCTCCACAATGGGCACCCCCAGCAGCAGAGCGACTCACCTCCAGCATGGTGAGGGAAGTGAGTCCACTTTCGTGCCAGCCAGCCAGCCAGTCTCCTCTCCTTACCAGCCAGCCTAAGTGCTTCCTAACGGAGTTCCTTCCGATTCCTACTTCTCCTTCTAGCGATAATGTCCACCCGACATCCCACCCCACCAGCCCTTCAGACTCACGAGAGTGCTAGGGCACGTCTTAGTCAGAAGGGAGTTCATGTTGAGCACGCCATTTGTTTTTTCACCCTGCCTAGGATTTTTCCCCTACCCCAAAAAGGATATGCAAAATCTGAGCCAAAAGCGTATAGCGTATACATGCCAGCCTATAAACGACACGCAAATATACGCCAAGTGCTATATATTCCAACATAGGATAGTGGTAAGGTTGAAGTGGGAGGAGCGGGAAAGTGGGGGGGAGGAGCCAGAGGAAGGAGGTTGGAGAGGCCGGGAAGAAGGGGAGGAGCAGGAGACAGAGGCAGCAGGAAGAAGGGGAAGCAGTAGCCGGAATGAGGGAAGGGGGCAGGAGATTGCAGAGTAGAAAATGATGGCGGGTGGTGTACACGAGCAAAACGGTACGAGTTAATCTGATTCAAAACGCAAGGCTGATACACTGGAAGACTTTAGTCACACCTGCCTGACATCGCTATAATTACACACACCTGCCTGGCATCGCTATAAATAGAAACATCTGCCTTGCATCGCTATAAATAGACAGAACTGCATGGCATCGCTATATTTACACACACGTGCCTGGCAACGCTATAGTCACACGACATACCTGTCAAGCATTATAGCCCAGAGCCCGGCAGTAGAGGGTGAAGGCAATGGCCCACTCGCCACAGCGGCCCTCCCTGGCGTCCAGAATCTGGACGGTGGAGGAAGGGAAGAGAAGGAGAGGAGGAAAAAAGAGGGGAGGAGGAAAAAGAGGGGAGGGGAACAAAGAGGGGAGGGGGAAAGAGGAGGGGAGGAGGAGGAAAATATGGGAGGGAACGGGGCGGAGGAGGAAGAGGAAATGGGAGAAACAGGGGCGAATGCCATTCAACCCAGCCCTGCCCACTCGCCATAGCGGCCGCACCTCTTGTGTAGCAGATGTATGTGCGGAGGGAGAAAAGAGAAGGGGGGGGGGGGGGGGGGGGGGGGGGGGGGGGGAAGAGAGAAAGGGAGAAGAGCGACTCTGAAGCAGCTCAGCCTGGTCCGCAGAGGCATGAAGAGAAGATGCCTCAGAGCCTCAGAGCGAGGGAGGAGTTGAAAGGAGGGACGAAGGGAGTGACAAGTCATTAGAACCAAGTGCCATATGTGGAAGGCGGTAGTGGGTGGTGAGTACGGAAGATTTGATGAAAGATTTGCCTGGTGGACTGAACAGTTGGAATGTGGAAGCACAAAAGCACATCCTTTGAATAACAGTCTCATTTCGAGGCACCTAAAAAATATTAAGCGCCACGCTTGTCCCAGACCATTCCCCATGCATGTGCCTCCTTGCAAGTTACCCTGGCAGGATCGTTGCATCACACAATGCGAGCTACTGTGCCGCACTGCTTGCACCTGAGAGCCCACATAGGGGCACACCCCATATTCGGGGGGGGTGGGGGAGAAGGGGGGGGAGGGGGAGGGAAGCGAAGGGGTGAAGCGGACACCTGTCTGTCAATCACTGTGCCTCCTTGCGACTTACCTTGGCAGGGTTGCTGTATCGCACAATGTGAGCCACCGTGCCGAGTTGACTTTCGAGTCGACTCAACCATTACCTTGGCAGGGTTGTTGTATCGCACAAAGCGAGCCACCGTGCCGCACTGCTTGCACCTACCCATGGCACCCTCCCTCCCACCACACACACATCCAGAGCCAGAGGAACAGATAGAGAGGCACAAAGAGGGAGCGAAGGGTGAATGGGAGGGGGAAGGAGGAGGAGGCAACAGCTGATGAGGAATAAAAAGGGAGAAGGCAGAGCAGAAGATGTGAACGAGGTTCCTCCCATCCCTCTCGACTCCCTCTCCTCAAATCCCCCTCTTGTTCCCTCTCCTTTCTCCCTTCCTTCCTTTTCCTCTCCCTCCCGTCTTCCTCTCCACTCCCTCTCCTCTCCCCCACTCGCCCCTTACCCCCCCTCCCTTCCCCTCTCATCCCCTCCCTTCCTCTCCCCTCCCTTCCCCTCTCCTCCAATCTCCTACCCTCCCTTCATCTCCCTTCACCTCCCCTCCCCTCCCCTCCCCTCCCCTCTCCTCCCCTCCCCTCCCCTCTCCTCCCCTCCCTCCCCTCCCCTCCCCTCCCCTCCCTTCACCGCCCCTCCCCTCCGCTCCCCTCCCCTCCCCTCCCCTCCCCTCCCCACCCCTCCCCTTTCCTCCCCTTAGCTCTCTTCCCCTCATCCCTCTCCCTGCTCCTCCTCTCGTCCATCACCCTTCCTTCCCCCTCTCCTCTCCCCTCACCTCCCCCCCCCCATCCCTCTCCCCTCCTCCTTCCCATCCCTCTCCCCTCCTGTTTCCCATCCCTCCTCCCATTCTTCCTCCCTCCTCTTATCCTTTCCCTCCCCCATGCCTCCCCTTCCCCCCTCCCTTACCTGTGCAGATCCACATACTGCCCCCCCCAAGCGGTCGTCAGAGGAAGGCGAGGCGCTGCTGTGGAAGGCACAGGAGGAGGTGCGGCAGCTAAGACACTCCTAGCACTCAAACCCATGCCTCACAACCCTCCTTTCTACTCCCCTGCCCTTCGCCCCTCACCTGTGCAACTCCACGCCATGCGCTGCCCACCAGCAGTTGGTCTTCAGTGGAAGGCGAGTGGTTGCCGTGGAAGGCACATGTGGGAGTGGGTGAGTGGCAGCAGAAGCACTCCTCTCACTCCCTTGTGCCGCTCCCGCCGCTCAACAGTGCAGCTCGACACGCTACGTTGCAGCAGCGCCATCACCTCCACCAGCTGCAGCAGGTCGTCAGAGGAAGGCGAGCCGTTGCCGTGGAAGAGGCACAGGAGGAGGTGCGGCCGTGGCGGCACTCGTCTGTGTGGGGAGAGCGGGAGGGCAGGAGCGGGTGGGAGGGCAAGGACAAGGAAGGAAAGGCAGTGGCAGATGGATAAAGGGTGATCATAGGTGTGACGGGTGCAAGGCACAGGTGGGGGGTGCGGCAGCGGGGGCACAGCGGGAGGGCGAGGGGCCAGGAAAGAGAAGAGAGGGGCGAGAGAGAGTGAGGATTAGCAGAGGGAAGAAAGAGAAGGCAGCAGAGAGAGGGAGTGGTCACAGGAGGAGGCCGATGGAGGTGTGGCAGTGGGGAGGAGACACGACGACATGGAGTTCACCCATTTGAAAGAAGAGCAGTGAGGGCGACGACAAGGAAAGAAAAAGGTGGCTGTAGGGAGGGAGGGTGCAGATCAGAAGACAAGGTGGGGGTGAGTGTATGTAGGAGTATACGTGTGGGTGGAGAGAAGTCAACAGACTGCCGTAAGGGGAACCAGCACTGCGACCACAGTGTTCAAAAGAACGCAGTGCTGGTTAAGGTGATCACCAGAACCGCAATGCAGTCAACAGATCAGTAGCTGCATCAACACTGTGTCACGCAACTCCCCTTCTGACGGCTGGTACTGGCCTTCCTGTGGTGGGAACTTGGTGGTGGCAGGGAAAGGGAGGGGATAAGACTAAGGTATGGTAGGTCTGTGGTGCAATAGGCTGTAATGCGGTAGACTGTGGTGTGGTAGGTTATAATGTGGTAGGTTGTGGTGCGGTAGGCTGTGGGCAGAGCGCGCTTTCGAGCCACTCATCCGCTCCCACTCATGTTGCCCTCTTACGCCCAGCAGCAGCACAATGGTTTTCAATGTCAGCAACTTGCTTGCAGGTTCATCCATGACCCTTGATAACATGTTACTGAGTCAACAGAGGGAGCAGAGCACAGCACAGCACCGCGCCGCACCGCACAATGTCTGGCGAACTTTAGCATGGATGAAGCGACCCCCTTCAGCTGCTGAAGAGAAATGAGCCAAATCCCAACCCAACCCGATGCAACACAGCCCGACCCGATGCGACCCAACACGACCCGACCCGGCCCGCTCGACTTGCCCTGACCTGCTGGACCCTACCCGTCCATACCTGACCTGACCCGATCCGAACCACCCGGCCAACCCGGCCTCGCCAGACCCGACCTGACCACACCCAATCTAGCCCGAGCCAACTGCCCCGACCCGACCCGACCCATCCCAACCCGACCCGCCCCGCCCGACCTGGACCTGTGACCATGCCCATGCATACTGAAGCGAACCTTGGCAACGGAGGCTGTAGCAGCCTCTAGTGCTGCTGCAGGGGCATGAGCGAGCGCGCCTTGGCCTGGCGTAATGGATCCTCGTACTAATGGGGTCAGGCAATGTGCGCGCCACTGCTGGGGAACTTTCCGCGAAGGAGGGGAGTCACGGCGTATGAGGAATTCGCACGTCTCGCCGCCAGAACCCCTTTGACCCGGATGACCGCCCTTGATGATTCTCATATGCACCCACATCACAGGGGTCGCCAATGCTTCTCCGCGCATCAGTTTTTCCGCAGTACAGGATCGATCCAGTGCCTCAAGGGGAGAATCATCACTGCATTTCATCTCAACACGTACGTTCAGCCGCGACCACAGCGGAATCGCCCTGCGGCGGGAAATAGGTCTGCGTCACTTGCGCAGCAGCTGCGCGCCGTCTCGGCGCGAGGCGAGTGCGCAGAAGCATTCGCAGCAGCAGCAGGGGGAGCTGCGCGCCGAGCGAGCCGGAGTGCGCGGTCATCGCAAAAATGTGAAAATGAGGGTCTGAGGGGGGGGGGGGGGGGTCTGTTCTGGGGCTGAAAACTGCATCGTAAAGGGTCGTTCACAAGGGACATTGCGCGACCAGTTTTTTCGTGTGGTTTACTACCTGGAAACTGTCGTGAACTATCGCGAACTATCGTTTACTGTGCGATTTTGTTCTGTGGCAACTCTTCATGGTGGGATTGCTACCGTTGATGGGCGTTGACTGTCGTTCGGGTACTGAGCTGGAAGTTTGTCACTATTGCAAGCCATCCTCACTGTTCACTTGCCCATAAACCAGACCTTCACACTCGTTTACACAGTGGTTCGATTTCGGTGCAGGGGAGCGTAGAAGCGGGAAACGATTTTACCGCCAGAATGAACGGAGATGAGACAGTTTGATCGAACGGTTGGAAGCAAAACTGAACAGTGTAAAACAGTCGTGGCCTAGAAAGCCACGTGTCGTGCCACTCTAGTTATAGAAGTGTCTTCATTTCCTTGTAAATGGACCAGCGCGCAATGTAACACCACCTTACGAAGTTACGACACGCAATGACAATGACAATGACAATGCTCTGCGCCTTACGACCGCCATGGATATTACCGACTTCGAGCCGCGCAATGTCCCCGCTAGGGTACTCTGATCAAACTTCTCTCTACACCTTTGGGTTCGTCCGTAACTTAGCTTTCGGGAGACCTGTCATTTTTGCTGACATTGGCTCACCGGGTTACAAGGCAACCTACTATGAAGTTTATCAGGCATCCTCGAGAATGCCGGTGCTCGCTCAGTTATCCAACTCGGCTAAGGAAAGCTGCTACTACTGTTCGCTTATCAAGCTTATTAAACGACATGATCCCGAGGTGTCAACCTCGGTTTTGCATCATCAACTTCGAGAACGCCTGGTTCCAGCGAGACCCAAGGAACTATTTAACCATGCTGTGCTCAGTTCATTGGCAGAACCTACTATCTTCGGCTATTGCTTCCAGCAAAGCCTTCGTCTGCCTTTTCCTCATCATCGCACTATGGCTCCTACCAAGGGTCCTCGCTCTAAGGTCGTCACTGATCCCCCTGCTGTCCTCGGCGACCCTCCTGCACCTCTTGGCGATCCTCCTGCTGTTGACACAGACACATCTGCCAAGAATGTTACATCGGGAGAAGGTAACAACAACGCGGATGCGGTGAATACGACCTCTTCTGACAACACCTCTGCTGATGGCTCTGGACTGCTGCTGACATGGACTGACAATGGCGGAGCGTCAGGCAGTTCCAACGTATGGTTCTGTTGAGGAGGTTCTGCTTGAAGATGACTCTGATGACGAGATGGAAGTGGATCATGATATGGAAGCAGCAATGCATCTCAGGACCACTGTCATTTTGCTGCTACCTTTTGTGCTCGCTCAGGAAGTGGTGTGTGTCATGGATGCTGTCAAAATGCTAATGAAACGCGGATGGAATGCAGAGGTCTCCGATCACGCCTGGACAACGACGAAGTTTCAGGAGCTGCAGGCGAAGTACATTGCGAAAGTCCGCTACTGTCGGCTGCAACTCTCTTTTCTTCTGGAGCGTGATGCGGAAATCTGCACATCCAAGGAAGTGGTTTATCAGCGGTTGAATGGCAAGCTAACGAAGCTGCACTGGCAGCATACTGACAACATCTCCTTCTCACGCGAACGCTCGACTAACCCAGCGGCAATGGAGGCTATTTTCCGTGGTGTTTCGGCGACTGTGGAAATTGCTCTGCTGACGGCGCGTCTCTCGACTTACAAGCTCCAAAAGACTCAGCGACCGGCTTTTCTCCGCTGCTCTGCATTTCATCGTGTACTCCACCCGGTGACTGAGAAACTGAACGAGAACGAGAATGGGTTGACTAAGGGAAAGTTGGGTACAAATGTAAACCCTAGAAAACTGTACCCCATATGTGCTACCCCACTATAGCCTACAGTAGCTATGTCATATAAATCTGACACACCCCCATAGGCAAAGTGGGGGAGAACAAGGGGTCACAAGACCAGTCAAGCAAAGCAAAGCAAGCTCAGGGTGGATCACAAAGTCACCACACATTCCGAGCACAAGTTCAAGGCCACAAGGCCAGTTCACATGCAGGATTACATATATATATAAGGCTAGACAAGCAAGAGCAGGTGTATAAATATATGCAACAGTACAAACAAGGTCAAGGGGTGAGCAAGTGAGGCAAGGTAGGCACAAGACCCAGCTGAGTACAGAAGCGCTGATGATCACAAGGCGCAAGTGCCTTGGTGAAGATATCAGCAGTGTTGGCCTCAGAGGCCACGTACGCAAGCCGCAGCTGACCACGCTGCTGTAGCTCACGAGCAAGGAAGTAGCGGAGAGCAATGTGCTTCGTTCTGTGCTCCAGTCTCTGCTCTCGACACAAGGCCAGCATGGCCTTGTTGTCTACGTACAGCACTGGAGGAGAACGAGGCGGCTCTCCGAGGTCAGTCAACAGGTAGGTGAGCCAGCGAAGCTCCTGTGCAGCCATGGCCCCGGCGTAGATCTCAGCCTCACAACTGGAGCCGAGAACAGAAGACGAGCGGGTAGCCCGCCACGAAACAGAGCCGGAACCAAGGCTGAAGGTGTAACCCTGTGACGACCGCTGCGTAGCCTGGTCGTCAGCCCAAGAAGCGTCTGCGTGCCCAGTGAGGACCACTGGACTCTGCCCTCCAAGCACAAGCCCCATGCCCGACGTACTGCACAAGTAACGCAACACCCTCTTCGCTGCAGCCATGTGCTCCGGTCTGTGTCTCCCAGGAGCAACATAGCGTGCGAGAATGCTAAGAGGGTATGCGAGGTCATGTCGTGTGCAGGTCATCAGGTACATGAGGCAGCCAACAAGCTCTGGGTACGGGCCACTCGACTCTACGGACTCATCCGAAGGCAGAGCTGAGAGCGAGTGGCGAGTAGGCAGAGGAGTGGCCTGAGGCGAGGAGTACGTGAAGCCGAAGCGCTGAAGGACCTGCTGCACCATGTGTGACTGAGTCAGGGTAATGGTGCGGCGTGCTCTGTCCCGGGTGATCTGCAAGCCAAGGTAGCTGCGCAGTTCACCCAGGTCTGTGCACGTGTGTCTCTTCTGCAGCTCGGACTTCACGTGGGCGAGTCCAGCAGTGTCAGCTGTGGCAAAGACCAAGTCGTCGACGTACACGAGGATGTAGAACGGCGGCAAAGAAGTGTCGGTGCGCAGAAACAGCGACGGGTCGGCAGTAGAGGGAGCAAACCCAAGAGCCGCAAGTGTAGTCCTCAGTGTGTCGTGCCACTCACGCGGTGCCTGGCGGAGACCGTAGACTGGCCGCCGGAGGCTCCACTGGGTGCCAGGAGGAAAAGACCCAGTGAAGCCAGGTGGGCGACGCAGCCAGATCTCCTCGTGCAGGCTGCCCTGCAAGAAAGCAGTGCTGAAGTCAAGAGAGTGCAGCTCGTAGTCGCGGTGAGCAGCTATGTGCAGCAGTACCCGAAGAGTGGTCATCTTCGGGGTGGGAGAGAAGGTCTGAAAGTAGTCAACTCCCTGCCGCTGACTGAAGCCACGAGCCACGTAACGCG